GAGTGCCCCCTGCCGGCCGCCTTGGGGGTGGCACTAACCCTCTTTGGGGGTGGGGGCGGGGACAGAGTCTGTGGCCATCCCTAAGTCTGCTCCTTGCGTCCTCCTCTGCCTGCCCCTTAACTCACCCTTCTCTCTTCCTACTAACGGGTCAGGAGACCAAGGAGATCAGCTGGGAGCAGGTAGGGGGCGCGGGGCGGGGCGTGAGCGCATGAACAGGCTGTGCACGATGCATGGTTGTCCCTCCTTGGAACCCCACCCCGTCCTCACCAGAACATGCCATCATCCCCATGGGGTGGCGCCATGCCGAGCTCTGGACTGTTCCATTATGGCTTGGTGGTGGGGAGGGTAGAGGGGATGCAATGTGGAAGCCCAGACTGTTGCATAGTCAGCCTAATGCATGAACCATTGCATAATCGTGGTTTGCGGGGGCTCTAAGGTGCTTCAGTTCTGTAGTTCAGGAGAGAGGAGAAGCCCGTGTCCCTGTGTGGAGGGGGAGGGAGAGGGGGCTACCATGAACTTCTCAGTGTACCAGGGCCAAGGAGGAAGCATTGGTTGTGGTAGTGGTGAGGTAGTCAGGCTGAATGAGAAGTCGGAGAGGAGGAGCTACACTTTGTTCTCAAGCAACAAGAGGTGGCTGGGCGCGATGGCTCACGCCTGCAGTCCCAGCACTTTGGGAGGCCGAGGCGGGCGGATTACCTGAGGTCAGGAGTTAGAGACAAGCCTGGCCAACGTGGCGAAACCCCGTGTCAACTAAAAATACAAAAATTAGCTGGGCATGGTGGCGAGTGCCTGTAATCCCAGTTACTTGGGAGGCTGAGGCAGGAGACTCACTTGAACCGGGAGGCGGAGATTGCAGTGAGCCGAGATTGAGCCATTGCACTGCAGCCTGGGTGACACAGTGAGACTCTGTCTAAAGGATGTGGGGGGGAACCAAGAGGCATGAACGCACTGTCCACCAAGGAATTATAGTGGGTTGGACTGTGACCATAGATCACATATTTCCAGCCAGGGGGAGGCATGGATTTTGTGCTGATGCTGAAAGGGGTGGGGGGCTTGGGACTCATCTGGAATGCTTTCCTGGGCCAGATATAGCATTAGACTAGTATTGCAAAGGTGATGGCCCTTTCTTAGTGGGAGAGCTGCCTTGAAAAAATCCATTGCCCTGACTTGCGGGTGTAGCGACGTTGGACTGCAGCGAGACAGAATTAAAGCAGTGCCTCCCAAAATTTAATGTATAGTGGGGTGGCATGCACCTGTAGTCCCAGCTACTTGGAAGACTGAGGCAGGAGGATGGTTTGTGCCCAGAAAACTGAGGTTAACCTGGCCAACGTAGCAAGACCCTGTCTCTAAAAAATAAACAAATATGGTCGGGTGCAGTGGCTCATGCCTGTAATCCCAGTACATTGGGAGGCTGAGGCGGCCGGATCCCTGGAGGTCAGGAGTTCAAGACCATCCTGGCTAACATGGTGAAACCCCGTCTCTACTAAAAATACAAAATTAGCTGGGCGCGGTGGCGCATACCTGTAATCCCAGCTACTTGAACTCAGGATGCGGAGTGTGCAGTGAGACCAGATCGTGCCACTGTCCTCCAGCCTGGGTGACAGAGCAAGACTGTCTCAAAAATACATAAATAAAAATAAATAATGTATATTTCAAGTCACCTGAGGGTCAGATACCGATTTCAGTAGGTGTGGAATAAGGTCTGAGATTCACAGGTGATGGTGATGCTGCAGGTCTCAGGACCGCTGTTTGAGTAGCCAAGAGTATGTGCTGTCACGAAGGTCTAGGAGACAACTCTGGACCAGTCCTAACTCTGGATCAGCTGAGCAGAGATGGGTCGTTATCCTGCTATGGGGTGGGCAAAAACCTTGGACTGGGGGGTTGGACTGTACCCCTTTCATGCACAGTGGGAAGGGGCCAGAGGGCCTGACTCCTCCCTCACCTGCCCATGGCCCCAGATCCTGGCATATGGCGACATGAACCACGAGTGGGTGGGGAACGACTGGCTGCCCAGCCTGGGGCTGCCCCAATACCGCAGCTACTTCATGGAGTCGCTGGTGGATGCCCGAATGTTAGATCACCTTAACAAGAAGGAGCTCCGGGGCCAACTCAAGATGGTGGACAGCTTCCACAGGTGGGGGCTGCCTGGTCAATGGGGATAGTCCAAAGGGAAGCCCCACCCCAGAGAGTCTTTGGCCAATGGGATTAGCCATGGGAGATTCCTAGGCTTATCTTGGCCCTTTTAGCCTGGGTTCTCAGGATATCCCGACTCTCTGCCCCTTTCACCAATGCCATGGTCCACAGGAAAAGTTCATTCTGATCCCGAGATGGCTTGGCTAGTTAACCCCGTACCCCTTTCCAGGCTGGCCAGTAGGAATTGCATGTTGAAAATGCCTCACCTCCAGAGGGAGTCAACAGTCAATAGAACTGATCAGCTCTCTACCCTTTCCAAGAAGAGCATAGTCAGTGGGGAGGGACCCTCAGGAGCAGCAGCCAGGGGGATTGGAAGGCTCATCCGTGACTCCACTTCCCCTGCTACTCAGGGTGAGTCTACATTATGGAATTATGTGCCTGAAACGGCTCAACTACGACCGGAAGGACCTGGAGCGGAGGCGGGAAGAGAGTCAGACCCAGATCCGAGGTGAGTAGAGTGTAAGGGTCCCTCTGGGAGCCAGGTGGAGGTTGTGGAGCTGGATGGGGAGGAGACGGGGTATGGGGAGGCCGGAGAAGAAGATTGGCACGTGGAACCAGCGCAGGGGGCGTGGCCCGAAGAGAGGATATGGAGGTGGAGGTATGGGCTAAACCGGACCCTCCAGGCCACGGGACGGATGCGGCTGAGGGTCCTTTCCATCCCCAGACGTGATGGTGTGGTCCAATGAGCGGGTCATGGGTTGGGTGTCCGGGCTGGGCCTGAAGGAATTCGCCACGAACCTCACGGAGAGCGGGGTACACGGGGCACTGCTTGCCCTGGACGAGACCTTCGACTACTCCGACCTGGCCTTGCTCCTGCAGATCCCCACGCAGAATGCACAGGTGAGCTGCCGCTCGGCCCGGAGCATGCTGGGCGTCCCCACCTCGCAGACTGCACGCTCCAACCGCCCCCTCCACCTCCCCTTTCCAGGCCCGGCAGCTGCTGGAGAAGGAATTCAGCAACCTTATCTCTTTAGGCACAGACCGACGGCTAGACGAGGTGGGCGCTCTGCTCCCAGAGGCGAGCTGAGGGGGCGGAGCCTGACAACAAGTCACGACTGGGGGCGGGGCCAGAAGAGGGGCGGGGTTAAGGGAGGTGAGACCTTGAGAAGGGTGGAGTCAAAGGAAGAGGCGGAGTCAGACGAGGCCCGAGTTCCTCACCTGCTGCCCGGCTCCTATACCTAGGACAGCGCCAAGTCCTTCAGCCGCTCCCCATCCTGGCGGAAGATGTTCCGGGAGAAGGACCTTCGAGGCGTAACTCCCGACTCAGCTGAGATGTTGCCCCCCAACTTTCGTTCGGCTGCAGCAGGAGCCCTGGGCTCTCCAGGTCTCCCTCTTCGCAAGCTGCAGCCAGAAGGTGGGGGGGGGGCTCCCAAATGCGACAGCCCCTCCTCCCTTCCCTAGGGTGGGACATGGACCACCTCAGTAGTCTGGGTTCTGGAATGGCCTAGTCCTTTCTCCCCTACCCCTGAGGAATGGACTGCTCCAACGTTCCGGACTCCCCCCTCAGGATGGAATGGATGAATCCCACTCTCCCTTCACAGGGCGCAGAGTGAATTCGCCCAAAGCGAGTTTGAGTCCTTGGCTGCAGGGAAGGGAGGGAAACCCACGTGGAGCCCGGCGAACGTTGTGACGTCGGGAGGGGAAGTTCAAAGGGAGGACTCCTGAAGAGGAACAGGGAGGGGGTGCTCCAGGCTGAACCGCTGCTCGCTCTCCCTCCAGGCCAGACTTCTGGGAGTTCCCGGGCAGACGGCGTTTCGGTCCGGACCTATTCCTGCTAGTGCAGGCCTCCAGGTGAGGACCGTGCTGGGCGACCTTGCGGGTGCGGGGCGGCACGGTGGATCTTCACTGCTCCATGAGCTGCCCGGCGTCATGCAGGTGACCTCACTCGGACGGAAAGATCTTCCCGAGGCTGGGCTGTCCCCTCTCCTGCCCAGTGTGGCCTCGCCGGGTAGTGCGGGCGGGGGAGCTCGCGCCGAGGACTGGACCATCTGTACAGACCAGCGGGAGTTGCGCGCGCCCGCCTCGCCCACGGCCGGGGCCTGGACCAAACCACACGAACTGTACTGAGAGGGGGAAGAAGCGGGCAGGAAGCAATCCCGCCCCGAACGTCCGCCTTCCTTTTCTCTACTTTGTAATTTATTGATCAGTTTCTGTTGGGAGACGGGTGTCCTTTACCCGCGGGAAGTGGGCGAGACTTCCCTCCCGGGCCGCATGCGGGGAGAGGCTGCCCCCTCCCCTTTTTCCTGCCCAGTCGCGGGGCCCAAGTCTTCCTTCTTCGTCCGAAAGGAGGGGAGGGGGGACTCGCTGCTACAAGCCTCGCCCCCTGTGCCACTCAGCCCCGCCCCGCCGCGTCCGGTCGCCGGTCCCCCGGGTCATCTGCGGGCGGGGTCCCCTCTCCCTCCCCCGTGTCTCGTGTCCCCGGGGCCTCACCGCCCCCAGTGCTGTGGCCATGTCCGTGCCCCGGGGGTAGGGGCATGGCCCCTCTGGCTCCGGGGTTTGCATGGGAGAATCCTCTTTCCACGATGCCGCTGGGCTACATGGCGTGGGGGCGGGGGTGGGGTGGGGGAGCCCTCGCCCCCGACTCTCGGTCGGCCTGCCAGCCCCAGGCGTCACTCAGTGATCACGGGTAAAGAGAACTGTTTCAAAAAGCTCCCTTGTTGACTGATTTTTTTGGGTGGCGGGGGTTCAACCAACAACTTCGAGGAGCTAGGAGTCCAGGCCCCTCATCCCTCAAGTCTGGGTCCAGGTCCCTAGACCCTACCCGCATTCCCTGATGCCGAGATTCTCAGACCCCACGGACAATGGAGTTTCGGGGAGCACGTTTATTCAGAGAAATAAATATGGCTCGTGGAAAGGGGTTGGAAAACAAGCAGCCGCGCAGCTGGGTCAGGGTTCCGGTGTTTCCAGCATGTCCGCCAGGGCCCTGGAGACGGGGACGCCAGAAGTTAGACAGCTGGTGTTCAAAGCTCACCCCGGGACGCTTAGAGATCATTAACCTGCCCATTCCATGGACGGGGAAATGGAGTCCCAGAGTCATCTGTTAACTCATAGCGAGACAAGCACTTCTCTAAACCGGGCCTTTACACTCCCCCCAGCCCATATACTTACTGATAGAGGGAGGAGGAGAAATAGTCGACGTAGCTTCCTGTGGGAGAGCAAAGAGGCTAGAGGAGTACTGCACGAGCAAAATTAGGGGGGCACTCTGTATGGCGTGCGAGATTAGTGCTAGCTCCACGCGCTTTTCCCTAATTCCTTCTTCAAACTGAATCATCTTCTACCGGACTCCTTTGAGGGGCACGCCCCTTTTTCGTTCGGGGTGATTCCGTTATCCCGTGGCCCCGCCCATTCGATTCCTACTTGAGTTGGCCTCGCCCATTAGGCTGTAGGCCCGCCCCTCAACCCTCCACTGATTTCTGTCCCTTGGCTTCAGCAACTCCACCAGGGTTCTTCCGGCCAGGTCCCGACCCAAGTGCTCACAACCTTGGCCACGCCTCGCTTCTTGGCCCCGCCCACCAACCATCCGGGCCAGTCCCTCAGGTTTGGCTCCGCCCCCACCAGGATCCCCACGCTGGGCCTAGCCCCTGCCTCAGGTATTTCCAGGGCCCCTCCCATGCTCACCTGGAGTGCAGACCGTTTCGCAGACCAGCGGGCAGAGATAACAGAACTGACAGTGCTGGGGGCGGGGGACAGGAAGAGAGACAATAAGCGTGAGGTGTGGCCGGGGGTGGAACTAGGACGGGCCGGGACCAGACACGGACAGAGGCGAGGTCTAAGTTAAGGTTGGAGTCGGGGTCGCTTGTGGAATCAGGGTTGCATCAGGGTTAAGGGGTTGGGTCAGAGACCAGGATTTAGAGCTGGGGTCCTCAGAGGGTCCGGGTGCATCCTGAGGCCCAGTGGAGCCTTGAGTGTGAGGCGCGGTCTCACCTGGCACTGGTCGCAGTGCTCACCCATGCTCTCCTCATCACAGTGACAGCTCTCGCATTCCGTGCATCGCTGCGGACCGGGGGAGCCTGGTTAGACGGAAACTCTAACCCCACTTGGGACACACCCGCCCCTGTACACTCTTGCACCCTGGACGTTTCCCTAGACTCTACCCTCTGCAGCCTCCGCCTCCCGGGTTCAAGCGATTCTCCAGAGTAACTGCGATAATAGGCGCACGCTACCACCGCTAATTTTTGTATTTTTAGTGGAGACAGACGGGGTTTCACTATGATGGCCAGGATGATCTCAATCTCTGACCTTGTGGTCCACCCACCTCGGCCTCCCAAAGTGCTGGGATTACAGGCATGAGCCACCGCGCCCAGCCGACCCTACCCTCTTTACCTCCAACACTGAGCTCCGTATCTGCCCCCAAAACCAGTCTCTCTCCCCTCCCCTGACCCGGTTTTCTATCTCAAGGTGACCCCATGTCCCGCAGTCAGGGTGGGCTGGACTTCAGATACTCTCTCCACTTCCTCTCTCCCTATTCTCCCCCTGGCCTTTCAACTCCCGTGCCATCCCTCTTGCCCTCTGACTCTCTTTGCCACAGACCCATGTCTGTCCCCACATCCTCAGATGCAGCTTACATCTTGTCTTCTCCTTCCTGGACCGTTGCTCCAGCCTCTTCCCCAGCCTCCAGCCTCCCGTCTGCCCTCACCTCACGTCCCTGCAGAGGTATCTCTTTCCACTCAGAACTGACCGTGGCCTGCTCTGAGCCCTCCCATCGCACCCACCACCCCAGGGCCCTGGGACAGATTCTGGGGACGCCTTGGTGGATGGATCTGGGCTGGGGACATACATTGCAGAAGGAGCAGTAGCCACACAGGGACCCTGGCTGGTAGTTCCCGTACTCCTGAGCATCCTGTGGACCTGCGGGGACAGGAGGGCAGCAGTGACCCAGGCTGACTTGGTTCCTCCCCACCCACACCGTGCCGGGCCATTTACCTGTGTCCTCACCGCTTTCCTCCTCACTGGAGGCACCTCCGTCCTCCTCTCTCCCCTCCAGCGGGTTGGGGATGATGGTGAAGGGGAGCTCATCTTCCTCCAGCCCCTCCTCCTTCCCTTCTTCCTCCTCCTTGTGGTCTTGGCTTTGGGGGGCCCCAACCTCAGCCCTCTCTTCCCTCTCCTCCTCCTCCTCCTCCTCTTCTTCCTCCTCCTGGTTCAGGTGGAGGTCATGGCCTTCCTCATCCTCCTCATCTTCCTGGTCCTGGCTGCCATGGTGGGTGCCTTCCTCCTCCTGCTCTGAGTTTTCATCACCTTCCTCATGGGAGCCGGGGTCCTCTTTCTCCTTTTCCTCCTCAGAATCATCCTCCCTCACATGGTTTCCATCCTTGACTGCTGTGTGTCCTGGGGGATGATGGCTCATCTCTTCAATGGACTCTGCTTGACTGTGGCCAGTTTCTTCATCTTGGTGGTTTTGCCTGTGGCTGGGGGCCTGGTGGCCAAGCTCAGCAGAGCTGTCCTCATCTTCCCTGGGGACCCTGTGGTGGTGATGGTGAGGGACTTCTGTTTTATACTCCTCCGGGGCGTCGTCCTCACCATTCTCGTGGCCTTCAGGTTGGTGGCTTGCAACATGGTGGCTGAACTGGACTGTGATCTCCTCTTCTTCCTCCTCATCTGCAAGGCCATGGAGGACATGTTGGGGGCCCTGGCGCCAATGTTCAGTGAACATATCCTCATCTTCTTCCTCATCTCTGTGGCCTAGGTGCTCATGGTCAGGGACATGATGGTGGTGTTCGCCTGACACAGCCTCATCCTCTTCCTTTCTGTGGCCTCGGGGCCTGTGGGCCTGGTGTCCATGCTCAGTGGAGACGTCATTATCATCATCATCATCATCATCATCATCTTCTTCTTCTTCTTCGTGGCCTCGGTGCCTGTGGCTGGAGCCATGATGGTGGTGTCCATCTGAGATATTCTCATTCTCTTCACTCCCGTGGCCTTGGTGCCTGTGGGCCTGGTGTCTATACTCAGTGAAGACATCATCGTCATCATTGTCATCTTTGTGGCCTCGGTGCCTGTGGCTGGGGCCATGATGGTGGTGTCCATCTGAAATATTCTCATCCTCTTCACTCCTGTGGCCTTGGTGCCTGTGGGCCTGGTGTCTATACTCAATGGAGACATCATCGTCGTCGTCATTGTCATCTTCTTCATGGCCTCGGTGCCTGTGGCTGGGGCCGTGATGGTGGTGTCCATCTGAGATATACTCATCCTCTTCACTCCCGTGGCCTTGGTGCCTGTGAGCCTGGTGTCTATACTCAGTGGAGACATCATCATCATCATCGTCATTGTCATCTTTGTGGCCTCGGTGCCTGTGGCTATGGTGGTGGTGTCCATCTGAGACATCCTCATCCTCTTCACTCCCGTGGCTTCGGTGCCTGTGAGCCTGATGCCTGTACTCAGTAGAGTCCTCGTCTTCCTCCTCCTCTTCCTCCTCCTCCTCTTCCTCCTCTTCTCCTTCATCATCTTCGCCATCGTGGCCTCCATGTCCATGCCTGAGGATATGATGGTGAGGCTCATGGGACACAAGTTCGTCCTCATCCTCGTCTTGGTGGCTGTGGCGCCTGTGGCTGGGGGTGTGATGCGTGTGCTCCGCTGAGTCTTCCATGTCTTCACTCTCATGGCCTCTGTGCCCACGGGCCTGCTCACCATGCTCTGCGAAGACCTCCTTACCTGGGACATCCTCGTCTCTGACCTCTTGGTCTTGGGACCTGTGGCCTGCGGCGTGGCCATATTCCTTGGGGACATCCTCATCCTCGTCTTCACCATCTGGATGACCCCAGAAGTGATGCCCCTTCTCCATGGAGACATCCTCGTTCTCGCCTGGATGGTCTCTTGGGCTGCGGAGGGGGCGGCCAAGCTCTGCCGGTGACTCCTGGGAGGGCCCAGCGGCTCCAGCGTTGTTGTTCCGGTTGCTGAAGCCCAGCCCGGCCCCTCTCAGCTGCTGGGTCATGGCCGGGGGGAGGAGCAGGCTGGCCACTGCAGCCCAGAGGACAGAAGTGTGCAGCCATGGCCTACGGTGGCCCATGGGGACGGACAGGCAGCAGAGCTTCTCCTACAGCAGCAGCTCCAGCTGCCTCTGCGACTGGATGGATGAATATTGGGGTCTGTCCCTTTGGGGTCTGTCCCTTTTTTTCCTCTGTGTCTCTGCTTAGTCCTCTCAGTCTCTGTCCACCTTCCTCTGGTCCTTGCTGCCTAGCTCCGGACACTCCTCTGAGGCTGACTCTGGAGCCCCCTGACCCCCCCCTCAGGGCCCTCCCTCCCCACTCCCCAGCCAATAGGGCCTTTCCCCTCCCCTCTCTCCAGCTAAATTTACTCTCAACCCTGGTTATTCTGGGTCAGTCCCCGCCTGCCCGCCTCCCACTCCTCCTCCTCCCGGCTGGGGAGGGGACCTGTGGAGGGGTCTCTCCCTGGCCACAGGATGGAGATCAAGGGCTTGACTTTGGCCTGCCAACAAGCGCATGCTCGGCAGCTGCAAAGACAAACGCTAGACTTTTAGCAGGTCAAGTTCAGGGACCCTGGGGTACCTGGGGAGGCAGAGGGGAGAGGCCCCAGCATGGAAGGACTGGGGGTTGGATTTCGGGGAGTTTCCAGTGGGAATGACATGTGTTGGTGAGAGAGTGATGTCAACTTCGAGGCCCTGGAATTGGGGGAAGGAATATGCCCTCAACACAGGCACCCATGACCTCCTGTCCCTGGAACTCAGATCTGGGGGCAGGGACTGGGCCAGGCCAGGGCTATAAATATAGCTGGGAGGGGTAGGGGGACTCAGGTTACGGAGGCCACAGCTGTCCCCATCACAGAGGGCTGGCAGGAGACACGTGGCTTTGCCTGTCTCTGTGTGTCAGTATCTCCCCTCCTCACCTGTCGTGACTGCCCCACTCAGGGTCTCCTTTCCTGTTCACGGGTCCTCCTCTCTCTTCCATTCTATCACCTGCGCTCTCATGGTCCCTGTCCCCCCTCCATGGGATTGCCTCTCCCTCTCACTCTGGGCTCTGTCCCCCTCTCATCTGAGTGTCTGTCCTTCACCCAAGTTTGTGTCCCTCTCTCTCCCCTCAATCTCTGGCCTCTCCTTTCTGAGTTCCTGCCCTTCGCCCCACTCTGGTTTTCACTACCGTCTGCCCTTTGTCTCAGTCAAGGTGGCTCCTCTGCCACGGCTGGCATCCACCTCTCTGGGTCCAAGTCCCCCTCTCTCTCTGGGTCCAAGTCCCCCTCCCTCGCTGGGTCCAAGTCTCCCTCTACCTGTATCTCTGTCCCCACTTCTGAGTCTCTGTCCCCCCTCTGAGTCTCCATCCCCCTCTCTCTCTCTGGGTGTCTGTCCACCTCTCTCCCTGGGTCTCTGTCCCCCCCCAGGTCTCTGTCCCCCCTCCCGATCCCCCCCACGGTCTCTGTCCCCCTTTCTCTCTGGCTCTCTGTCCCCCCCTCTCTCTTTGGTCTCTGTCCCCTCTCTCTCTGGGTCTCTGTCCCCCCCCCGGGTCTCTGTCCCCCATCTCTCTGTGTGTCCATCTCTGGGTCCCTGCTGCCCCACCGTCTGACCCCTGCCCCTAATCTCTGTCTCACTCTCTTTGGGTTAAAGTAACCCCTCCCTGTCTGGCATCCCCCTTTCTGATCTCTGTTCCCTCTCCGCCACCGGCCCCCCAACTCCTTCTGTCACCCTCTCGCTCTGTCCCTCGGAGCCTCCCTTACGTGTCTGTCGCCCCCCACAGCCCCTGGCCCTTGCCTCTGCGTTCCCCCGGTCGCGGTCCCTCGGTCCCTTTATCGCGGCCTCGGGCCCGCCCTCTCCCCGCCTCCCGCTTTAGCGTCTCCAAGACTCCCCGCCCCTCAAACCTCGCCCCGCCCAGGCTGGGCTGAAAAGTGGCTGATCCGGTTTGTCCTGGGCGGGTCTGGAAGCGGAGCCGGCCGGCCGGAGGGAACGCCGGGGCCCGGGGCTACAGGAGGTTGCGGGGCCACGGCAGAATGGTGGTGCCGGAGAAGGAGCAGGTGAGCCCCGGACCGGGGTCTGCGGGAGCGCGGAGCTGGGGGCCTCACTTCTAGGCTCCCAGTGAGGAGGGCGCTGAACACCCCGATTCCTGGGTCAGACGCAGGAGGGGGATGGGAGGGTCCGGGTTCCAAGGTCCCGGGCGTAGGGGTCGCAGGGCGCTGGGGGCCCGGACTCCTGTGTCCGTGGAGAGCGCACGGGGTGGGTGGCTCTGTGTCACATAGGGCAGAACGGGGTGCCCCCCACCCCACTTCTACCGCGACACTTGTTCCTGTGCCCAGAGCTGGATCCCCAAGATCTTCAAGAAGAAGACCTGCACGACGTTCATAGTCGACTCCACAGATCCGGGGTGAGGAGTTCGCCCGGGGACTGACCCCAGAGGGTCTGCAGCCCGCTGACCCCACCCTCACGGCCACGCCCACCACTGGGCCACGCCCCTTTCCCCTTTCTAGGACTCGGGGACCTTCCCAAGGGCGTTCCCTGCCAGCGCTCTCCCTCTAGGAGGGTTTGGCTCTGTGTAGACAACCCCCCACCGCCCATTTGCCATTCTCCCGCCCGGGGTCCGTGTAGACGCTCCAGAGCTCGTTTCTGTTTCTTTCCACCCCAGTGTCTCTTCTGTGTGTCTCTGTCTCTTCATGTCATTTTTGGTGTCTCTTGTCTTTCCCTTCTGGGTATTTCTGTTTCATTCATTAGTTTATTCGTTCATTCATTCATCCGTCCATGCAAGAAACCCTCACTCAGCGCTCCCAAGGGAGGCAGTCCCTTTAGTCTGAGTCAACGGCCTTACCAGGGTTCAAATTTCCCTTAGGACACGTGCTGTGTGGCTTTGGGAAAATTATTTCGGCTCTCTGGGTCCCGTTTCTCATCTGAGCTTAAAAAGAGGCTTGATCTCCTGAGGTTCTTACGAGAATTAAACAAGTTAATGCTTGTGATCTTCCGGTAACAGGGCCCAGCGCAGAACCTGGGAAATATCTGCAGTTCCCATAGGGAGGTGGCAATTATTGCTGCCTCTTGACCTGGCCCTGTGCTGGGTGGCCGGGGAAGCCACTTGACCTAGATAGCGTGTGTGCGTCCTTCAGGAGCTCCTGGCCTTCAGTGATGGCCTCTGAACCGGATTCAGGCTTTCTAGCTTTTTGCCTTTTTTTTTTTTTAAGACAGAGTCTGGCTCTGTCGCCGAGGCTGGAGTGCAGTGTCGCGATCTCGGCTTATTGCAACATCCACCTCCTGGGTTCAAGCAATTCTCGTGCCTCAGCCTCCCGAGTAGCTGGGATTACAGGTGCCCATCACCAGGCCCAGATTATGTATTTATTTACTGAGACAGAGTTTTGTTCTTGTTGCCCAGCCTGGAGTGCAATGGCATGATCTTGGCTCACTGCATCCTCCACCTCCCAGGTTCAAGCGATTCTTCAGCCTCAGCCTCCCTAGTAGCTGGGATTATAGGCATGCGCCACCATGCATCTGGCTGATTTTCTATTTTGTAGTAGAGATGGGGCTTCGCTATGTTGGTCAGGCCGGTGTTGAACTCCTGACCTTGGTGATCCACCTGACTTGGCTTCCCGAAGTGCTGGGATTACAGGCATAAGGCACCGTGCCTGAACAATTTTTTGTATTTCAGTAGAGATGGGATTTCACCCTGTTGCCCAGGTTGGTCTTGAACTCTTGATCTCAGGCAGTCCGCCTGCCTTGGCCTCCCAAACTGCTGGGTTTACAGGCGTGAGCCAACACACCCAACCCTCCAGTTGTTTTCAAGACAGTTTTTGGGGTGCGGTGTGGGAAGTGTCCACATTTCTACTTCAGTATCTGTTTTGTTATGAATATATATATCAGTGCAGTATGGCTGGTACATCATGGATGAACAGACAGATAGGTGCTTGTTGGACGTGAGTGCTCAAAACTTTCTACTGACAGGGCAGCCTGGTCAAGAGAATGTAGGAAACTCAGGTCTGGCCTGAGAAGAAGAAAAGCAGAGGACAATTATAGTAAGACAAGGGGTTCTAGCTGCCAGGGACTGGGCTCCGTGGGAGCTGCGAGGAGGTGTCTGCTTAAGACTGGGAGGGGACGCCAGGCATGGTGGCTCATGCCTGTAATCCCAGCACTTTGGGAGACCAACCTGGGCAGATCACAAGGTCAGGAGTTTGAGACCAGCCTGGCCAACATGGTGCAACCCCATCTCCACTAAAATACAAAAATTAGCTGGGCGTGGTGACCGGCACCTGTAATCCCAGCTACTCGGGAGGCTGAGGCAGGAGAATCACTTGAACCAAGGAAGCGGAGGCTACAGTGAGCTGAGATCGCATCACTGCACTCCAGCCTGGGTGACAGAGCGAAACTCCATCTCAAAAAAAAAAAAAGAAAGTGATTTGGAACAGCGTGTGCGAAGTCCTTGCTAAGGACTGTGTGGTTTGGCTTGAAAATGAAGCAAAGCTCAGGGTCCAGAGAACACTGTCAGGAGTGAAGATGCTGCAGAAGAGGGCGGGCCAGAGTTTGCCGGGTGTCAGAGGTCCTCCTGAGGGGCTGGGACCTTGTCCTGGGGAGCTGGGGCGTCACCGCAGGGGTGGGGTTGGCTCTGCATGTGGAGAAGCCTTCTGGGGCTGGGAGAGGATGAACAGGAGGCTGGATAGAGGGTCTGAGCAGGAGGTGAAGTGTCCTGAGCCAGCTCAGAGCTTTTGGGACACAGAGAGGAGGGGACGGGGCAAAGACTCGGGGGACAGGAAGGTAGAGCCTGGGGACTGATGCAAGGGAGAGAGAGGCACACCCATTGTTGGATGGCTCCCGGATGGACGGACGTGTGGTCTGCGGACTGGGACACGGCGGGGCTGTTCCTGAGATGGAGAACTCGGGAGTGTGAGCAGGCCTGGGAAATGGTCGCTGAGTGCAGCGTGGGACTGTGTGCATGTGCATGGCCCTGGGGCATCCGGGGGCATGCGGAGACAGACTTGGGAAAGGTCTGGACTGATGTCCAGGGTCTGAGAGGTCCGAGTTGCAGATGGTAATTGAAACTGAGAGTGGGTGAGATGTCAGGGGGAAAAAACGTGTCAAGTCAGGGGAGTTGCAAGCTGGTGATTCTGTGGCCAGTTGTGTGTGTGTCTGTGTGTTTCGAAGAGCGTTTAGGCCAGGCGCAGTGGCTCACGCTTGAAATCCCAGCACTTTGAGAGGCCGAGGCAGGTGTATCATGAGGTCAGGAGTTTGAGACCAGCCTGGCCGATATGCTAAAACCCCATTTCTAGTAAAAAACACAAAAATTAGCTGGGCATGTGGCAGGCGCCTATAATCCCAGCTACTCGGGAGGCTGAGGCAGGAGAATCTCCTGGACCTGGGAAGTGGGGGTTGCAATGAGCTGAGATCGTGCCACTGAACTCCAGCCTAGGTGACAGAGTGAGACTCCATCTTTAAAAAAAAAAGCCCTTGGCTCACGCCTATAATCCCAGCACTTTGGGAGGCTGAGGCAGGTGGATCACAAGGTCAAGAGATCAAGACCATCCTGGTCAACATGGTGAAACCCCATCTCTACTAAAAATACAAAAATTAGCTGGGTATGGTGGCGCGTGCCTGTAATCCCAGCTACTCGGGAGGCTGAGGCAGGAGAATTGCTTGAACCCAGGAGGCGGAGGTAGCAGTGAGCCGAGATTGCGCCATTGCACTCCAGCCTGTGTAACAAGAGCGAAACTCCATCTCAAAAAAAAAAAGCACTTAAAAATACCTACTTTCTGTCTCTCTCTCTTTTTTTTTTTTTTTTTTTTGAGACACAGTCTCGCTTTGTTGTCCAGGCTGGAGTGGCACGATCACGGTTCACTGCAGCCTTGACCTGCTGGACTCAAGCAGTCCTCCTACGTGAGCATCCCCAGTAGGTGGAGCCACCGCCATGACTTGCTAATTTTTAATTCTTTGTAGAAAATACTCAGGTGTATTTTTTTTTTAGTCTTCCTGTGTTGCCCAGACTGATGTCGAACTCCTGCCCTCCAGGGATCCTCCCGCCTCATCCAACCAAAGTGCTGGAGTTACAGGCGTGAGCCACCACACCTGCCTACTTCTTTTTTTTTCTTTTTGAGACAGAGTCTTGCTCTGTCATCCAGGCTGGAGTGCAGTGGCACAATCTCAGCTCACTGCAACCTCTGCCTCCCAGGTTCAAGCAATTCTCCTGCCTCAGCCTCCTGAGTAGCTGGGATTACAGGCGCTCACCACCACGCCTGGCTGATTTTTATATTTTTAGTAGAGATGGGGTTTCACTGTGTTGCCTAGGCTGGTCTTGAACTCCTGACCTCAAGTGATCTGCCCGCCTCAGCCTCCCAAAGCGCTGGGATTAAAGGCCTGAGCCACCAAGCTTGGCCCTGGCTACTTCTTTCTGTTGAGTTACTCGCCTGGCCTCTGCAAGCATTGAGTTTGAGAATCATGTAGAATCATGTAATTATCATGAGAATCATGTAGTATCATGGAATCATGTGAGCATCACACTGGGAATACCTACACTCAAGGGAGGTGAAAAGGAAGAGAAAGCCACAAACAAGGCCGGCATGTAGCAGCCGGGGCGGGACGAAGGCCAGCGGGGCAGGTGTACCCCGCCAAGGAGAAGGTTTTCCAGGATGAGAGCCTTTCAGCTGTGACCAGAGCCACTTGTGATAGTCAGATGAGATGTGAATAGGGGCCCTTGTATGTGGGACCAGGCGGGTAATTGCTGATTTTTATCAAGAACAATTTCAGGTCAAGCGCAGCGGCTCACGCCTGCAATCCCAGCACTTTGGGAAGGATTACAGAGACAGGGTTTCACCATGTTGGCAAGACTGGTCCTCAACTCCTGATATCAGGTGATCTGCCTGCCTTGGCCTCCCAAAGTGCTGGGATTACAGGCATGAACCACTGCACCTGGCCTGAATTTTTTATGTGATTTTAATTTTAACTTATGAGAACAGACAGCGCCCCATGGATATAAAGAACCCCATGTGGCTATCGTATTGGACACACAGGCTCTGGACCATTCCTTGAAGACCTTTTAATTAATTAATTAAATTTATTTTTATTTTATTTTTGAGATGGAGTCTTGCTCTTGTTGCCCAGGCTAGAGTGCAGTGGCACCATCTCGTCTCACTGCAACCTCCACCTCCTGGGTTCAAGTGATTCTTCTGCCTCAGCCTCCCAATTAGCTGGGACTATAGGCGTGCACCACCATACCCAGCTAATTTTTTGTATTTTTAGTAAAGACGGGATTTCACCGTGTTAGCCAGGATGGTCTCCATCTCATGACCTCATGATCCACCTGCCTCTGCCTCCCAAATTGCTGGGATTACAGGCATGAGCCACCTCACCCGGCTATTTATTTTTGAGACAGAATCTCGCTCTGTCACCCAGTCCGGAGTGCAATGGTGCGGTTTCAGTTCACTGCAACCTCCGCCTCCTGGTTCAAGCGATTCTGCTGCCTCAGCCTCCCAAGTAGCTGGAACTACAGGTGCATGCCGCCACAGCTGACTAATTTTTGTATTTTTAGTAGAGACGGGATTTTGCCATGTTGGCCAGGCTGGTCTTGAACTCCTGACTTCGTGATCCACTTGCCTTGGCCTCCCAAAGTGCTGGTATTACAGGCATGGGCCACCACTCCCAGCCTATTTGTGTTTTTACTTTTAGTGACATGGTCTTGCTCTGTTGCCCAGGCCGGACTGCAGTGGTGTGATCGTGACTTACTGCTGAGCTCAAGCGATCCTTCTGCTGCGGTCTCCTGAGTGGCTGGAACCACAGGCTTGCACCACCATACCTGGCTAATTAAAAAAAATTTTTCTGTAGGGATGAGGTCTTGCTCTATTGCCCAGGCTGGTCTCAAACTCCTGGGCTCAAGCGGTCCTTCTGCCTTGACCTCCCAAAGTGCTGGGATTCTGCCCAGCTGTCCTTGAAGTTTTGCTCAGAAGAGCAAACTTCCTGGGACGTAGCTGCTGGGGAACTGGGGGGTCTGAGGACGGAACTGAAATAGGAGACAAAGTGGGTAAACCGAGGCATGCCAGGGCCCTGGAAGTAGCTCTCGCTGTGCCAGGACCTGGCCTACGTGTGCTTGGTTCATCCTGTGTGTGGATCAGTCAGCCTGGTTAGTGTCTTTACGGCTTTGGTGAAATCCTTGTAGCACCTCTGCTATCCCTTCTGCAACATTGCTCTGAAATCCGCTCGCTTGCTTTGAGTAAATACAGGTCTCATAGGTCTCCCCCGATAACTGAACTCCATCTGGAATCTGGAACAAAACAAATTAGATACATTTTTTCTTCCCTTTCTCTCTCCCTCCCTTCCTTCTTTCTCTCTCTTTCTCCCTCCCTTCTTTCTTTCATTTTTCTTTTTTTTTTTGAGACAGAGTTTTGCTTTTTTCACTCGGGCTGGAGTGCAATGGTGTGATCTCAGCTCACTGCAACCTCCACCTCCCAGGTTCAAGTGATTCTCCTGCCTCAGCCTCCCGAGTAGCTGAGATTACAGGTGCCCGACACCACGCCCAGCTAATTTGTGTATTTTTTAAGTAGAGACAGGATTTCACCATCACCATGTTGGCAAGGCTGGTCTTGAACTCCTGACCTCCGGTCATTCACCCTCCTCGATCTCCCAAAGTGCTGAGATTGCAGGCGTGAGCCACCGCACCCAGCCCACTTGTGCATTTTTTTAGGCAGGGGAAAGTTTTTTATGTGACCACCATAAATGGAAAACTTCTTCCATTTGCTGCAAAGAGAAAGAAGCCACACAGAAGCCAAACACAATGAAAAGCAAACAGAGGTGTTTCCCTCCTGGCTAGAGGGCTGTTGCCAGCTCAGGTTTTTGAGCCCGAGGCCTGCTTTTCTCCTGAAAAAGAGTAGCAAAGGGTTCGGCATTCAGAGTATTCTGGCACCGGCTCAGCCTCTCTCCTTGATGGTCGGTAGTCAGGAGAACTGAAAAAGGAATGACTTTCTCCCTGCGTTATTCAAGGTTATTTAAAGCTGTGTGAAGTTCGTGTCGCGTTGCCTCTGGCTGGGACTCTGGCATGTGAGTCTCATTTCAGAAAACTGCGTTCTTTCCCTGGCTCCTCATAGCTCCGTGGAGTAGGCTGCGCTATTATTGTCTTTTCATCAGAGGAGGAAATCTAGGCTCAGAGAGGTGAAGCCGCTCAGCCAGAGTCACACAGCCGCATCCGCCCCTAGCACGTGGGCTCTCCCTGAGTTACTCCCTGGATCTTTCTTTTCTTTTCTTTTTCTTTTTTTCTGAGATGGAGTCTTGCTCTGTTGCCCAGGCTGGAGTGCAATGGCACAATCTCAGCTCACGGCAACCTCTGCCTCCCAGGGTCAAGTGAGTCTCCTGCCTCAACCTCCCGAGTCGCTGGGATTACAGGTGCCTGCCATCACGCCCAGCTAACTTGCATTTTTGGTAGATGTGGGGTTTCATCATGTTGGCCAGGCTGGTCTCGAACTCCTGACCTCAGGTGATCTGCCCGCCTCAGCTTCCCAAAGTGCTGAAATTACAGGCGGGAGCCGCTGCACCCGGCCTGGATTTTCCTTTCCATGGTGAGCACCACATGTGTGGATGGGGGATGGCGAGGACACCCCGATGGGCATCTGCCTTTCACTTGAGGCTCTGCAGGTGACAATGACCGACCTCTTCATGCTCAGACTTTCTGGAGTCACTGGCTTCCTTCTTGTGGGGAAGCGGGACTGTCCTCGGCTCCAGTCTCTCCCTGGGGCGGTTGGAGCCAGGGTCAGGGGCAGAGTGGACTCTGACTGCCTCTGGATGTGGGGTCAGTATAGACAGCCCCCTCCACAGAAGTATGAACAGGCAACAGAATGCTGGGGCGGGGAGGGCAGCCCTGGGTTCATATTCCGCCCTCGAACCCCCAGAGGGACCTGGTGCCAGTGTGGGCGCCCCCGGACCACCCACCCCGCTGTGGCCACAGAGGACGCCTTTGGGGCAGCCGTGGTGACCGTGTGGGACAGTGATGTGCACACCACGGAGAAGCCCACAGACGCCTACGGAGAGCTGGACTTCATGGGGACCAGCCGAAGGCACAGCCATGTGAGGCAGGCCTGTCTGCGGGCCTGGGTGCTGGAGGGCTGCATGCTCAGGGCTCAGAGTGGAGCCGGGACCCCCGAACGCTGCCCCTCCGCCCATCCTGTCTTTGCTCTCTGTGTCCCCTCCACCCCACCTGTCTTCTCTCCGACGAGATCCCCTTCCTCTCTCGGTCTCTGTGCCTCTGTGTCTCGGTCTCCCTCTGTCTCTGTGTCCCTCTCTCTGGGTCTCTGTCCCCCTTTCTCTCTGGGTCTCTGTTCCCCTCTCTCTCTGGGTCTCTGTCCCCCTCTCTCTCTGGGTCTCTGTCCCTTCTCTCTGGGTCTGTTTCCCTGTCTCTGAGTCTCTGTCCCCTCCCTGTGTCCCCCCTCCCATGTATCCACAGTTTCTCCGGCTCTCTGACCGAACGGATCCAGCTACAGTTTATAATCTGGTCACACGCATGTGGGGCTTCCGTGCCCCAAACCTAGTGGTGTCAGTGATGGGGGGATCAGGGGGCCCTGTCCTCCAGACCTGGCTGCAGGACCTGCTGCGTCGTGGGCTGGTGCGGGCTGCCCAGAGCACAGGTGACCAAGGGGGTGGGGCCGTCTCCCAGGCCTCGGTCTGCCTGCCATCTCCTCACCATGCTGGGGGTCTCCCCCGCCCCAGTCTCTGTGTGTGTGTCTCTGTCTGACTCTTGATTTCTCTCCCTCTGAGTGTTCCTTGGTGTCTGTAGGGGCCTGGATCGTCACTGGGGGCCTGCACACTGGCATTGGCCGGCATGTGGGCGTGGCTGTGCGCGACCATCAGACGGCCAGCACTGGAGGCACCAAGGTGGTGGCCATGGGCGTGGCCCCCTGGGGTGTGGTCCAGAAAAGAGACATCCTCACCAACCCCAAGGTATGACCCAGGGACTTGGAAAAGGAGGGGCCTGGGCCTTGACTCCTGGGTCTGAGGGTGGAGAGGCTTGGGGAGCTGGGACTCCTGAGTCTGAGGGGGGAGGGGCTGGGGTTCTGGTGACCGAGGAGGAGGGGCTGGGGCCTGGACCCTGTGTTTGACGGAGGAGGGGCTGGGGGGCCTGGACCCTGTGTCTGAGGGAGGAGGGGCTGGGGCCTGGACTCCTGTGTCTGAGGGAGGAGGGGCTGGGGGGCCTGGACCCTGTATCTGAGGGAGGAGGGGCTGGGACCTGGATTCCCGGGTCTGAGGGAGGAGGGCTGGGGGCCTGGATTCCTGGGTCTGAGGGAGGAGGGGCTGGGGCCTGGATTCCTGTGTCTGAGGGAGGAGGGCTGGGGGCCTGGACCCTGTATCTGAGGGAGGAGGGGCTAAGACCTGGATTCCCGGGTCTGAGGGAGGAGGGGCTGGGACCTGGATTCCCGGGTCTGAGGGAGGAGGGGCTGGGACCTGGATTCCCGGGTCTGAGGGAGGAGGGGCTGCGACCTGGATTCCCGGGTCTGAGGGAGGAGGGCTGGGGCCTGGACTCCCGGGTCTGAGGGAGGAGGTGGGGCTTGTGTCTGTCCTTCTGGCCCTGACTTGGAGGCGCTCTGATCTGGCCATTTTCCCCTTAGGGCTCGTTCCCCGCACAGTATGATTGGCGCCACGACCCGAAGGACGGGGTCCAGTTTCCCCTGGACTACAACTACTCGGCCTTCTTCCTGGTGGACGACGGCACGCATGGCCGTCTGGGGGGCGAGAACCGCTTCCGCTTGCGCTTGGAGTCCTACATCTCCCAGCAGAAGGCGGGTGTGGGGGGTGAGTGGCTTCCGGAGCCCAAGACCCACCGCCATCCCCAGTGCTCAGGATCCCAGTAGTCTGTTCTGCTCGAAATTTGGGGAATTAAGTGTCTATCCCCATCTTTTTTTTTTTTTTTTGACGGAGTTTCGCTGTTGTTACCCGGATGGAGTGCAATGGCGTGATCTCGGCTCACTGCAGCCTCCGCCTCCTGGGCTCAAGGTGTCTTTTCCACCTCAGTCTCCTGAGTACCTGGAACCACAGGTGCCCATCATCATACCACGCCCGGCTAACTTTTTGTATTTTTGATAGAAGTGGGGTTTGCCATGTTGCCCAGGCTGGTCTCAAACTCCTGACCTTGTGATCCACCCACCTCGGCCTCCGAAAGGCTGAGATTACAGGCGTGAGCCACCGCGCCCAGCAATAAAATGTAAAAAGCTACATTTATATGGTGTCTATTGCTATAAAAAAGGCTACCATTTTTATGGGGTTAGATCTATCTTTTGTCTCTTTTATAACCTCCTTGGTTGCCTGTCTGAGAAAGGCCCATCCCACTCCCCGACAAGCCTTCTCTTCAGTCTTCTTTTAGTATCTCATGGTTTATATTTACACCTCTAATCCATCTGGAAATGGTTTTTACATATTTTGAGGTCAGGCGTCTATATTTCTTTTCTTTTTTTTTTTTTTTTTTTGAGACAGAGTCTGGCTCTCTTACCCAGGCTGGAGTGCAATGGCATGATCTCAGTTCACTGCAACCTCCACCTCCTGGGTTCGAGCAATTCTCCCCTCTCGGCCTCCCAGGTAGTTGGGATTACAGGCATGTGCCACCACGCCCAGCTGATTTTTTGTGTTTTTAGTAGAGACGGGGTTTCACTATGTTGGCCAGGACGGTCTCGATCTTCTGACCTTGTAATCCACCTGCCTCAGCCTCCCAAAGTGCTGGGATTACAGGCGTGAGCCACCGCGCCCCACCAGGAGTCTGTATTTCTGTTTGTCCAAATGAGAAGCTGTTTTCTTTATAACCATTTAGTAAATAAACCATCCTTTCCTGGCCGAGTAGAAATTCTTGGCAGTGTGTATTCAGATCCTTCATCTGCTGAAATCTGTTTCAAAAACTTTAAGAAAAAAATTATCTACTTATATATTCCTGCGGCCAAACTCTGCCTTGATTATAGCAGTTTAAAGAGGTTTTCAGGCCAGATGTGGCGGCTCACGCCTGTAACCAGCACTGTGGGAGGCCAAGGCAGGTGGATCACCTGCACCTGGGAATTCAAGATCAGCCTGGCAACACAGTGAAACCCCATCTCTACAAAAAATACAAACAATAGCCAGGCATGGTGGCACATGACTAGTCCCCGCTACTGGGGAGGCTGAGGTGGGAGGATCGCTTGAGCTCAGGAGGTCCAGGCTGCAGTGAGCTGAGGCGGCATCACTGCATTCCAGCCTGGGTGACAGAATGAGACCCTGTCTCCAAAATATAAATAAATAAAGATATTTTAATATATGTTAGTGAAAGCTTCTCACTGTCCTTTCTGAAAAATTTCTTGGCTCTTCTCTGACATTTATTTTTCCATTCGAAGTTGAAAATTATTCTGTCCCATTTAAAATACGGTAAACACCTCCAAACCTCCTCTCATAGCCCCCTCTTTCCCCAGACATAATTATTGAATTAATGTGCTAATTTGTGACAAGTTGACTTACTGTTAGTTTTTCCACTTATTAGAGTCCCACTCTGTGCCCAGGCTGGAGTGCAGTGGCGCGATCTCGGCTCACTGCAACTTCTGCCTCCTGGGTTCAAGCGATTCTCCTGCCTCAGCCTCCCAAGTAGCTGAGACTACAGCCAGGCTCCACCACTCCTGGCTAATTTTTGTATTTTTAGTAGAGATGGCGTTTCACCATGTTGGCCAGGCTGGTCTCCAACTGTTGACCTCAGGTGATCACCCCGCTCAGCCTCCCAAAGTGCTGGGATTACAGGCGTGAGCCGCCAGACCAGCTTACTTTCTAATTTTAATGGCTATAGAGTTAGTATAGAAGTATCTTGGCCGGGCCAGAGATCGAGACCATCCTGGTCAACATGGTGAAACCCCGTCTCTACTCAAAATACAAAAAATTAGCTGGGCATGGTGGCGCGTGCCTGTAATCCCAGCTACTCAGGAGGCTGAGGCAGGAGAATTGCCTGAACCCAGGAGGCGGAGGTTGCGGTGAGCCGAGATCGCGCCATTGCACTCCAGCCTGGGTCTCAAAAAAAAAAAAAGAAGTATCTTTATGGTGCATTTGGGCTTTGGTGAATATGTAGATTGCGTGGCTGGGCGTGGTGGCTCACGCCTGTAATCCAAGCACTTTGGAGGCCAAGGCGGTTGGATCACCTGAGGTCGGGAGTTCAAGAATATCTAGATTGTGTTTGGATAGTCCTTTCTACTCCTATTTCCTTCACTTTCTATTTCAACTTTCAGCCTCTCAGGCTCCTGGATGGTTAATTAATTACAGGATTGACTCATACAAGAAACACCTGCCTCATTCAGGGTCTCAGGAGTCCAGGCCCTCAGCCCCTCCCCCTTGGGGATTAAGCGTTACTGTCTTCAAAATCTAGCTCCCGTGATCCCAGCACTTTGGGAGGCCAAAGTGGGAGGATCCCTTGAGCCCAGGAATTAGAGACCATTCTGGGCAAGATGGCAAGACCTTTGTCTCTGCCAAAAATTAAAAAATCAGCTGGGCATGGTGGTGTGTGCCTGTGGTCCCAGCTACCTAGGGGGCTGAGGTAGGTTGACTGCTGAGGTGTGATCATGCCCCTGTGCTCCAGCCTGGGCGATAGGGAGACCCTGTCTCAAACATTAGGCTGGTGCGGTGGCCCATACTTGTAATCCCAGCACTTTGGGAGGCCAAGCGGATCACAAGGTCAAGAGATGAAGACCGTTCTGTCCAACGTGGTGAAACCCTGTCTCTACTGAAAATATAAGGCCGGGAGTGGTGGCGCATGCCTGTAAGCCCAGCACTTTGAGAGGCCCAGGTGGGCAAATCATGCGTTCAGGAGTTCGAGACCAGCCTGGCCAAAATGGGGAAACCCTGTCTCTACTGAAATAGAAAAAAATAGCTGGTGTAGTGGCAGGCACCTGTAGTCCCAGCTACTTGGGAAGCTGAGACTTAAACCTGGGAGGTGGAGGTTGCAGTGAGCTGAGATCACACCACTGCACTCCAGCCTGGGCAACAGAGCGAGATACTGCGTCAAAAAGAAAGAAAGAAAGAAAGAAATGACAATTCCAAGGAACAGAGGAAAAGGCTGATGTTTGCCCCAGGGACTCCTGGGAAATGTGGTTTCCTCCTATCTCCAGCAAAGGCTGATGGGAGGTAACCAAGCCCCCTTCTCTTCTTGCCTCAGGGACTGGAATTGACATCCCTGTCCTGCTCCTCCTGATTGATGGTGATGAGAAGATGTTGATGGTATAGGGGCCTGGATGCCTGGGACTAAGGGGGAAGGAGGGTGGGGGCCAGGACTCCTGGGTCCTGAGTCTTAGGGAGGATCTGGGAGTCTGACCCCAGGTAGGGTGAAGAACCTGCCTTCTCTGACATGACTCTCCCCTTTCTTCTGTAGCAAATAGAGAATGCCACCCAGGCCCAGCTCCCCTGTCTCCTGGTGGCTGGCTCTGGAGGGGCTGCAGACTGCCTGGCAGAGACCTTGGAAGACACTCTGGCCCTCGGGAGTGGGGGAGCCAGGCAAGGTGAAATCCAAGATCGAATCCGGCGTTTCTTTCCCAAAGGGGACCCTGAGGTCCTGCGGGCCCAGGTAGGACATTGGGGGCTCAACTCTGGATTTTGAGATGGGAGGGAACTGGGGATTTGGGCTCCTGGGTCTGAAGGAAGGGGGACTGGGGTTGGACTTCCAGGTTCCAGGAGGAGAGAGTAGAGCGTGCTGGGCGCCTAGACTGTTAGGTCCTGGAGGGCAATGTCCTTCTCCCTCCCTTTGGACACGGCCTGCAGGTGCTGGGATGGGGGCCGGGCTAGGGATGCATAGTTTGCTGTTCCGCAGGTGGAGAGGATTATGACCCGGAAGGAGCTCCTGACAGTCTATTCTTCTGAGGATGGGGCTGAGGAATTCGAGACCATAGTTTTGAAGGCCCTCGTGAAGGGTAAAAGTCGTGCCCTCCAGCCCTCCCCTCTCTCAGTTCAGCACCTTCCCCGGCCTGCCTGGGCACTTCATCCACACGCTCTAATCTAAGGCCCGTTGCCCCCTTCCCTCTCATGTCCTTCACCTCTGGGGCTTTGCGTGGTGCTATTTGGGCAGCTTTCCCAGATGCTTTGATTATGTTTCGTTATCCATTCTTTCATCTTTCTGTCCATCCACGTGTGCAGATCGAGCTTTCCATCTCTTCACCTACCTGTCCTTCCAGTCATCCTTTGTTCTTCCACCCATCCATCCTTTCACCTGTCTATCAACACAGACACTGACAATTCCACCCACTCATCCATGCATCCATCCATCTTTTCACCTATCCATCCACAGATCACTAACAATTCCATCCACTCATCCATCTATCCATCCATCCATCTTTTCACCTATCCATCCACAGATCACTAACAATTCCATCCACTCATCCATCTATCCATCCGTCCATCCTTTCACCTATCCATCCACAGATCACTGACAATTCCATCCACTCATCCATCCACCCATCCATCCATCTTTTCACCTATCCATCCACAGATCACTGATAATTCCATCCACTCATCCATCCATCCATCCATCCAGCTTTTCACCAATCCATCCACAGATCACTGACAATTCCATCCACTCATCCATCTATCCATCTTTTCACCTATCTATCCACAGATCACTGACAATTCCATCCACTCATCCATCCATCCATCTTTTCACCTATCCATCCACGGATCACTGACAATTCCATCCACTCCTTCTTCCAACCAACCATCTGTCATCCATTTAGCCATTTAAACGCCCGATTCAATCTACCTGTTCATCTTGTCATTCATCTATCCAGTGTTCTTCCATCTATGCATCCACCCACCCGTTCTTCCTTTACTTCGTGCCTCTGATATGCGTGAAGCACTCTAGTTAGAATGAAGAAAGCATTGTCTCCCAGTGAAGAAGTCCAAATATTTCACTAGGAATGGCAGCTCGAAGGACTGAATGACGAAAACCAAGGCGAGAGTGTAATGGAAGGGGCTGGGGTGGGGCTCCTTTCTTATTTATTTATTGAGACAAGGTGTTGCCCTGTAGCCCAGGCTGGAGTGCAGTGGTGTGATCATGGCTCACTGCAGTCTTAACTTCCCAGGCTCATGTGATCCTCCCCACTCTGCCTCCCAAGTAGCTGGGACCACACCTGCCTGCCCCTGCACCTGGCAAATTCAATTTTTGTTTGTTTGTTTGTTTACAGGCTCTGGTAGGGTAGAAAGAGCAGTTACTTTCGACTTTGGGATCAGACAAAACTGAATTTAAATCCCAGCACGGGCCTGGCGCAGTGACTCACGCCTGCAATCCCAGCACTTTGGGAGGCTGAGGTGGGTGGATACTTGAGGTCAGGAGTTCGAGACCAGCCTGGACAACACGATGAAACCCCATATCTACTAAAAATATAAAAGTTAGCTGGGGTGGCAAGCGCCTGTAATTTCAACTACTTGGGAGGCTGAGGCAGGAGAATTGCTTGAACCTAGGAGGGAGAGGCTGTAGTGGGCCGAGATGGCGCCATTGCACTCCACCCTGGATGACAGAACGGGACAAAACCCAACAAACAAAAAAACCAGCTTGGCCCCTTCCTTGCTGTATGACCTTTAGAAAGCAGCTTCCCCTCTCTGAGCCTCAGTTTCTCTCTGTGGAAAATGGAGATAGTATCTTGCAAGAGTGTTATAAGCCTACAAGACAATGTTGTGCTCGATCCCTGGTGGGGGCCCAAGAAGAGGGAGCTCTTCTTTTTTTTTGAGACAGAGTTTCGCTCTTGTCACCCAGGCTGGAGTGCAATGGCACGATCTGGGCTCACCGCAACCTCTGCCTCCTGGGTTCAAGCAGTTCTCCTGCCTCAGCCTCCCAAGTAGCTGGGACTACAGGTGTGCGTTGACCAGGATGGTCTTGATCTCTTGACCTCATGATCCACCCGCCTCGGCCTCCCAAAGTGCTGTGATTACAGGCGTGAGCCACTGTGCTGGGCCGGGAGCTCTTCTTAATATGATTTGGTTTCCTCTGGGGGCACGTCCTTCCATATAAGATAACTCTCAGTGGGCGAATCCGATTCACTCTGCGGAGGTTAACTCGGCAGCCTCCTGGGAGAAAATAAGGCAGTTCTGTGTGATGTGGTTTGAGGGGGTGGAGTTGTGGGCCCAGCAGAAGTGGAAGTGATCGAAGTTCACTGGGGAAATTGGAGATGGCTTGATGGGTTTGGGGATAGCAGGGTTGAATGGATGGAGTTTCAACAAGAAGGAGGAGGCAACGTCATGAACGCTTCTTAGTCCGGCGTGGGCAGGCCCGGTGCTGCGCGCCTGGCGTGTCTTAGTCCGGCGTGGGCAGGCCGGGTGCTGCGCGGCTGCTGTGTCTTAGTCCCGCGCGGGCAGGCCGGGCGCTGCGCTGCTGCTGCGTGTTAGTCCGGCGTGGGCAGGCCCGGTGCTGCATGGCTGGCGTGTCTTAGTCCGGCGTGGGCAGGCCCGGCGCTGCGCGGCTGCTGTGCTCTTTTCTTCTTCGTCTTCCCTCCTGGCCTGCAAGGATTTTCACCCCATTTTGCAGCTGAAAACACTGAGGCTCAGGGAGAGGAAAATGGCCCAAGGTCGTCCAGCTCGTAGCAGGGACCAGGCTTTTCCTGCAAGTCCTTATAATTCTCAAGCCCATTGCAAGTGGCATGTCTGGAGAGAGGTCGGGGCTCGCAGGGTTGACATGCGGCACTGGTGTGAAGGGAGTGTTGGTGACAAGTCCAGTGAGGTGGGTGGGTGGGGCGTCCAGGTGACAAATGGTGTCAGATTAAGGCAGGATATAAAGCAATATATTATTATTATTTATATATGTTTTGGAGAGTCTCACTCTGTCACCCAGGCTGGAGTGCAGTGGTGCCATCTTGGCTCACTGCAACCTCCACCTCCCGGGTTCAAGTGATTCTCCTGCCTCAGCCTCCCAAGTAGCTGGGACTACAGGCATGTGCCACCATGCCTGGCTAATTTTTTGGATTTTAGTAGAGACAGGGTTTCACCATGTTGCCCAGGCTGGTCTTGAACTCCTGAGCTCAGGGAATCCACCCACCTCAGCCTCCCAAAGTGCTAGAATTACAGGGAGCCATCACGCCCAGCCTGTAAAGCCAGATATTATAAACGATGTTCTTTCCTTCTTTGGAACCATGGGGAAAGTAGGGGAGCTTCATAGACTCGTAGAAAATCGTAGAAAAGCCCGCTCTGAATGGACGTCTGGGCTTTGAAAAAGCACATAAAGCCACGTGGTCCTCGCCATGTTACTGCCTTTCCTGGGGGGTTCTGCTTCCTCAGCTACAACCTGAGAGATTACACTGGCCAAGCTGCAGTCCGCGTGGACCTTCTTCCCGAAGTTACTATCACTGATTACGGTGCTATGAAGGGGGCACCACTATTCCCACTTAACAGATGAGGAAACCGAGGCTCCCAAGGTTCAGTGGCTTTCCTGAAGTCATTCAGTCAGTATGGCGGACAGGGGATTGGAACCCGTGTCTGCCCGCGCCAGAGCCCGGTGCTCGTCTGCACTACAGGAGATCACCTCTTCCTGTGCTGCCAGTGTTTGCAGCAACCGAAATGAGATGAATTTGTTTTGGAGATAGATTTGGAGCAAGTGAAGGCGGGAGGAAAACCTAACTCCATGTCATAACAGACGCCCTTCAGGGCGTCTGCACGTGTTTGGATCAAGTTTTTAAAGGTTGCTTGTTCTCTCTTGGGGCTTCAGGGACCTCCAGGGTCTCTCGGAGTCACTCTCATGTTCAGATTTTTTCCAATCTCATTTTCCGCTGTCGTCACCTCTTCCCCTTACAACACACCCCAAGTTTCAGAAATCAGAGTGACTCACATTTGTCATCGGCTGCTGTGTTTTCTCATACCCCACCTTTGCTTCTGCTGTTCCTGCTGCTTTGAACGCTCTTTTCCCACCTTAGACACACACCTCCCGATGCTGGTGGCCTTTCAAGGCGCTACCTCAACACCCGTCCTCCAGGAGCTCTCTTGGGCCACTCCACACGTCTGTGACCGTAGCCCCCTCTGAGCCCTAATCAGATTTACCCACCTCTGAGGGCACCAAGCACTCTGAGGGTAGTTATATGTTGGGGAGACATATTTCCCCCAATAGAAGCAGCTCCTTCAGGGTAGAAACTGTATCTCTCCATCCCCTCCACTGCCTGGTCCATAACATACCTCAATAAATATTAAACGAATAAGTGATTCCCTTTCTTTCTTCTTGGGGGCTGTAAGCTAGTGGTCTGCGCTCTGGCCCTGAGCCAGATGACCTTATGCCTATGATAACCTGACTGCTTAAAGACCCCCACCCTCTGCCCAGTGGCACCCCCTTTACGAAGAGTTTAAAAGTCAGGCACGCAAAATCGAAACAAAATAGACATTCATCAGATGTCCCTCCTCCCCTGACTTCTTGCCCCTTCTCCCTCTCATCCTTCCAGCCTGTGGAAGCTCAGAGGCCTCAGCTTACCTGGACGAGCTGCGTTTGGCTGTGGCTTGGAACCGCGTGGACATTGCCCAGAGCGAACTCTTTCGGGGGGACATCCAGTGGCGGGTGAGGGGTCAGGGCCTGAGGGTTGGGCATCCTGACAAAGGGACTGTGCTCTCCTCCCTCCCTGTCTTCTTGGGCGCCCCTCCACGCTGCCTTCCGTTATGGCCTGTCCAGCCTTCCCTTAATCGTCCATTGATCTCTGATTGTCTATCTGACCTCTCCTGTTTCCTCTCTCCCCATCCATCCATCTGTCTGTCCATCTGTCTATCTATCCACTCCGTACATCCATCTATCCATCTTTTCATTCATCCATCTGTTCATTCATCCATCCCTCCATCCATCCATTTGTCCATCTATCCATTCATCCATCCATCCATAGTTCCATCCATCCATCTGTCCGTCCATCCATCCATCCATCCATCCATTCGTCCATCCATCCATTCATCCATCCATCCATAGTTCCATCCATCCATCTGTCCGTCCATCCATCCATCCATCCGTCCATCCATCTATTGATCCATCCATCTGTCATCCATCCATCCATCTGTCCACCCATCCGTCTGTCTATCCATCTATCCATCCATCCATCTTCCATCTGTCCATCCATCCATCGGTCCATCCATCCATCCATCCATATTTCCATCTATCCATCCATCTGTCCATCCATCCATCCATCTATCCACCCACCCACCCACCCATCCACCTATCCACCCATCCATTCATTCATCCACCCAGCCATCTGTTCCTCATACCCTTGTACCCCTGTCTCTTGTCCTTAACTTTTGAGCTAATCTCTTCCTCCATTCATCCCACCCCCACCAGTCCTTCCATCTCGAGGCCTCCCTCATGGACGCCCTGCTGAATGACCGGCCGGAGTTCGTGCGCTTGCTCATCTCCCATGGCCTCAGCCTGGGCCACTTCCTGACCCCGACACGCCTGGCCCAACTCTATAGCGCAGCGCCCCCCAACTCGCTCATCCACAACCTTTTGGACCAGGCGTCCCACGGTGCAGGCACCAAAGCCCTAGCTCTAAAAGGGGAAGCTGTGGAGCCCCGGCTCCCTGATGTGGGGCACGTGCTGAGGATGCTTCTGGGGAAGATGTGTGCACCGAGATACCCCGCCAGGGGCACCGCGGAACCTCACCCAGGCCAGGGCTTCGAGGAGAGTGTAAGGACTGGGCAAAGCTGGAGTGGGGACCCCTGGAAGGACTTGGAGCAGGACTACATCAGGGATGGGGCGTGGCCAGAGCAGGGGGTGTGGCCAACCAGGGGCAGGGGTGGCAGTGGCCAGTGTTGAGGAGTGGCTAGTCCTCACCACGCCTCCTTTTCCTGGCAGAAGTTTCTACTCCAGGACAAGGCCCCCTCAAGGTCCTCGCTGGACGCTGGCCTTGGGCAGGCCTCCTGGGGTGACCTGCTCCTTTGGGCGCTGCTGCTGAACAGGGCACAGATGGCCATGTACTTCTGGGAGAAGGTGAGTGGTGACTTGGTGCTCCTGCATCCCTGTCCTTTAGCCCACTGGATGCCAGCGTTCCCCATGCAATTCCCAGACCGCTGACATCGCCGGACAGCTGCCCCATCCTCCACCCCGATACATGCCTCCAACTGCTTCCTCTTTCTTTCTTTCTTTTATTTTTGAGATGGAGTCTCGCTTACTGTAATCTAGGCTGCAGTGCAGTGGCACAGTCTCGGCTCACTGCAACCTCCACCTCCCGGGTTTGAGGTTGATTCTCTTGCCTCAGCCTCCTGAGTAGCTGGGATTACAGGCACGTGCCACCATGCCCAGCTAATTTTTGTATTTGTAGTAGAGACAAAGTTTCACCATGTTGGCCAGGCTGGTCTTGAACTCCTGACCTCATGATCTGCCTGCTTTGGCCTCCCAAAGTGCTGGGATTACAGGTGTGAGCCACCATGCCCAGCCTGCTTCCTCTTTCTTTTCTCTCTCTTATATCATACATTATTTTTTATTTTTATTTATTTATTTTTTGAGATGGAGTGTCACTCTGTTGCCCAGGCTGGAGTACACTGGCATGGTCTTGCCTCACTGCAACCTCCACCTCCTGGGTTCAAGTGATTCTCCTGCCTCAGCCTTTCGAGTAACTAGGATTACAGGCACCAGGCACCCTCCACCACAGCCAGCTAATTTTTCTATTTTTAGTAGAGACGGGGTTTCACCATGTTGGCCAGGCTAGTCTCGAACTCCTGACCTTGTGATTTGCCTGCCTCGACTTCCCAAAGTGCTGGGATTACAGGCATGAGCCACTGCGCCTGGCCTGTTTTTTATTTTTCCAGACAGTCTCACTCTATTGCTCAGGCTGGAGTGCAGTGGCATGATCTCGGCTCACTGCAACCTCCGTCTCTCAGGTTCAAGTGATTCTCCTGCCTCAGCCTTCTGAGTAGCTGGGATTACAGGCGTTCGCCACCACTCCCAGCTAAATTTTGTATTTTTAGTAGAGACCGGCTTTCACCATGTTGGTCAGGCTGGTTTTGAACTCCTGACCTCATTATCTGTCTGCCTCAACCTCCCAAAGTGCTGGGATTACAGGTTAGAGCCACTGGGCGTGGCCCACTGTGGCTACATATAGAAGCAGTTTTTGGAAACTTAGCCGCGCTGTTTGCAATCCTGCTTTCGTCTTCACTTCCTGCTTGAGCCGAGCCTCAAGTTCAGCTAGAGCTTCAGGCTTTCTCTGGTATTTTCTGAGCATGCCTCGAGCCCTAGTCATGCATCTCGCCTTCTGGATTTCCTGGTACACGAGGAAGCTTTTCAGAGCCCCTACTCCCCCAAGTACTTCCCTTCATGGCCCCTTTCCTCCCAAGCTGCTTGGTGTATCTGTTGCTGCCTCTGCTGGGCTGTCTTGCCTCAGGTGGCTGTGGCTAATTCATCCCTGCTGCTTCCCTGGGAAAGTTCTAAGGCAGGTGAAGCACAGTCAAGCCCTTGAGCTGTTACTGCAGGGAGCCACCAGACAGGGCCACACACACGACCACAGTTCTTAGGGAGTAAGGTCTGAACTGCGTCCTCTAGTACCAGCGACCCACACCAGGAATGTGTTTTTGTCTGGTGGTTTGTCTGGTGGATGTGTTTTGGCTGCTGCTGAGCTGGGGATCTGGGGGCTAAGTCAAATGTCACAGTGCCCTCTTACTGAAATTTAGTAGTTTCTTCATTAAGCATTTTTTTTTTCTTTTTTTTTTGAGATGGAGTTTCGCTCTTGTTCCCCAGGCTGGAGTGCAGTGGCATGATCTCGGCTCGCTGCAATCTCTACCTCCCAGGTTCAAGAGATTCTCCTGCCTCAGCCTCCTGAGTAGCTGGAATTATAGGCCTCCACCACCACACCTGGCTAATTTTTTGTATTTTTAGTAGAAACGGGATTTCATCATGTTGACCAGGCTGGTCTCAAACTCCTGACCTCAGGTGATCCACCTGCCTTGACCTCCCAGAGTGCTGGGATTACAGGCACAAGCCACCGCGCCTGGCCTCATTAAGCATTTTCTTGTTTTGTTTTTTTTTTTTTGTAAGTTTTTGATTAGATTCCAAAATTCTAGAAAAGTTGATTCTGGCAGTTTTTGATAGCTATCGATTGCTTTTGTGGAAGGATGAAGTTTTGAAGTCCCCTGCACTGCCAGTTTTGGTCACCTCTCCAAGTGCTTTCAGAAACTGTAATTGTTAGAGACAGGGTCTTCCTCAGTCATCCAGGCTGGAGCACAGTGGCAGGATCGGGGCTCATTGCAGCCTCAACTTCCTGGGCTCATTCAGTCCTCCTGCTTCAGCTTCCCTAGTAGCTTGGACTACAGGAGCGCACCACCATGCCTGGCTAACTAAGAGAAAAAATTTCTTTTTTTGTAGACATGGAGTCTCGCTGTGTTGCCTAGGCTGGTCTTGAATTCCTGGGCTCCAGCAATCCTCCTGCATTTGTAATCGTCCAGTGGGTTCAGCTTGCCCGCTGCCTAGACAGAGCCGATTTATCAAAACGGGGAAATTGCAATGGAGAAAGAGTAATTCATGTGAAGTTGGCTGTGCAGGAGACTGGAGTTTTATTATTACTCAAATTAGTCTCCCTGAGCATTCGGGGATCAGAGCGTTTAAAGCTAATTCGGTGGGTAGCAGCTTGGGAAGTGGGGAGTGCTGACTGGTCAGGTTGGAGATGGACTCACAGGGTCTCACTGTCTTCTGTTCCTGGACAGGATGCAGAACTAGTTGGGCCAGATGACCTGTCTGGGTGGTGTCAGCTGATCCATCGAGTACAGGGTTTGCAAAATATCTCCAGCACTCATCTTAGATTTTACAATAGTGATGTTACCCCAGGAGCAATCTGGGGAGGTTCACAGTCTTGGAGCCAGAGGCTGCATGACCCCTAAACTGTAATTTCTAGTCTTATAGCTAATTTATTAGTCCTGCAAAGGCAGACTGGTCCCCAGGCAAGAAGGGGGTCTTTTTGGGAAAGGGCTGTCATCAATCTGTTTCAGAGTCAAACCAGGAATGGAATTCCTTCCCAAAGTTAGTTCAGCCCATGCCTAGGAATGAGCAAGGGCAGCAAGATGGAGTCAGTTAGTCTGATTTCTTCCCCTGTCATAATTTCCTCCGTTATAATTTTTGCAAAGGTGGTTTCACCTCAGCCTCCCAATGTGCTGGGATTACAGTCATGAGCCACTTTACCCAGCCTCCAACTGGGTCTTGACCTGTCTGTGGCTGCGAAATTTATTTTACCTCCAACCCAGCCCCTGACTTGTATCCCTGGTCTCTGAGCCACCTGACTTCTGATATTTTCAACTGACATTCAGTTTCTTCCAGATCCATCTCCAAACGCGACTTCATCTTTCGCCTCTGATGACTCCAGTTAGCTTCTGACCTCTGGCTCTGTCCCTTCCCTTGACCTCAGGCTTTCTCCCCTTCTGTGACCCCTCCCTGACCCATCCATGCCCTCTTTGTCTCTCCAGGGTTCCAATGCAGTTTCCTCTGCTCTTGGGGCCTGTTTGCTGCTCCGGGTGATGGCACGCCTGGAGCCTGATGCTGAGGAGGCAGCGCGGAGGAAAGACCTGGCAATCAAGTTTGAGGGGATGGGCGTTGGTACGTGGGGCATGGTGCCTGGGGGCAGAGATGGCGGCTACCACTGGAGGTGGCATCTCCCAACTCTCCTCACATATCCCTGTGCCATCCCCTTAAATTCCCTTTCCTCTCCCTTTACACCGTCACCCTACTCCTTCCCAACCCTGTCACATAACTAACTCCTCTACCCCTAGACCTCTATGGTAAGTGCTATCACAGCAGTGAGGTAAGGGCTGCCCGCCTCCTCTTCCGTCGCTGCCCGCTCTGGGGGGATGCCACTTGCCTCCAGCTGGCCATGCAAGCTGATGCCCGTGCCTTCCTTGCCCAGGATGGAGTACAGGTGAGTATCTGCAACACCAACATCCCAGACAGTCTCCAAGTCAACTCTGGGAAGTATGGGGACGAGCCCCTGCCATTGGGAACAGCCATGGTCTGGATCAGCCCCTCTCCCTGGAGACTACCCAGAAAGTCTCTCTTCTCTCAGAAAGGCTGCTCTTCCCATAAGAAGCCTCACTCCTTTCCACCAAAAGCCAACCTTCCCATAGCAAAGCCCATCTTCCTAAAAAGTTCCACTCCAGATAGAGAAACTCTTGGTGACCCTATCAGGAAGTTCTACCTTTAACCTAGGAAGTCCTTCCTGCTTCCACAGAACAGCCCATTTCTTTCAAAGGAAGTCCTAGCTCATCCACAGGAAGTCCCGCCTTATCCATAGGAAGTCCCGCCTCATCCACAGGAAGTATTTTCTACTTCCTTTAGAGGTCCCTAATTCCAGTTCTCAGCAATTAGAATGGCCTTACTGGACAATCACACACACACACATATGTGACACAAAGTTTGGCCTAGGAAATCTCACCCTTCCTATAGGAAATCATCTCTCTTGAGAAGCCCTAATTGCTCCCAAATCTCTCCAATTTCTCAGTATTTTTAATTTAACTCTGTATTTTAATGTTCTCAGTATTTTTAATTTAACTCCGACAGGGGCTCAGAGTTATACCTCAGTACAGGAAGTTGTGCCCACCCAACAGGAAGTCCCATCCTCATCTGTTGGAATGGTTTGGCTGACATTTCAAACAGCTACCCAGAGTCCCTTGTTGTGGATAGTGGTTAAACTCATGGATTCCAGCTGTACCACATACAAGCTGTGTTTCTTTTTTTTTTTTCTGAGACAGAGCCTTGCTCTATCACAGGCTGAAGTGCAGTACCACAATCTCAGCTCACTGCAGCCACCACCTCCCCAGTTCAAACAATTCTCCTGCCTCAACCTCCCGAGTAGATGGGACTACAAGCGCATGCTACCACACCTGACTAATTTTTGTATTTTTAGTAGAGATGGGGTTTCACCATGTTGGTCAGGATGGTCTTGATCTCCTGACCTCATGATCCGTCCACCTCAGCCTCCCAAAGTTCTGGGATTACAGGCATGAGCCACGGCGCCCAGCCAAGGCTGTGTTTCTTTGGGTCATTTCCTTAACTTCTCTGTGCCTCATGTGTGTTAAGGAGGAGATAATAGTAGACACCCCCCTGTATGTCAAGCATTGAGTGAACGAATCTACATAAAGTGCTTAGTTCTGTATCTGCCATATCCTGTCAACAGTGTTGGCTGTTGACAACTGCCAAACCCTGGCCCAAGTTGTCTTTGCCTTTCACCACCATTCCCCTACCTCAATAGTTGTAGCTGTGACATTGAGCACTTGCTCTGTGCTCTGCAGCTGTGGTCCAGCCCTTGCTGGGTGTCTAAGGGAGGGAGCTGTAGGGGAGATTTGGATCCTAATCCTGCCCACCCCCCACAGTCTCTGCTGACACAGAAGTGGTGGGGAGACATAGACATCACCACACCCATCTGGGCCCTGATTCTCGCCTTCTTTTGCCCCCCACTCATCTATACCCACCTCATCACCTTCAGGTCAGTCCCCTGGGGTGATAGTGGTGGGAATGGGGGTGGAGTGCTCAGTTTCTCCTTCCCGCTTGCTCCGCCCACCTTTCTTCCCTGGTCTGCCCATTATGCTCCTTCCCTGGGAATGGGACTCTCTCTCCCTCCTCTAAGGGAGTGTTGTGGGAGTTAAGTTTTGTGGGGATCCGCCCTATGGTGTCTCTTGCAGCAGGTTCTCTGCCTTTCTGGCCCTGGCTCTCGAGGAAGCTCCCTTTTGGGTGACTTTAGGGGGCCACCTCTCTGTCTCTGCCACATGTCTGGGGGAAGAGGTTTGAGTTTTTCTGGAGAACTCCTCTCCACCTTCTCCTCCCCTCATTTCTCACTCTGTGCCTCCCTCCTTGCCAGGAAATCAGAAGAGGAGCCCATACAGGAGGATCTGGAGTCTGACCTGGACAGTGCTGCTAATGGGGAAGGGCCTGTCAGGTAAGTGGACCCCCTAGCACTGTGTGAGGTGGGGACACCCTGGACAGCTTCAGGACATGTGCCACTTCCACACTGTTAGTCCCCTCGAGTTGCTACAAGGAATACCTGAGGCTGGGTAATTTATAAAGAAAAGAGGTTGCATTGCTTCATGGTCCTGCAGGCTGTTCAGGAAGCATAGTGCTGGCATCTGCTACTGGTGAGCCCTCAGGACACTTCCACTCATGGCAGAAAGTGAGGGAGGAGTCAGTGTATCGCACAGTGAGAGCAGAAGCAGGAGTTAGGGGGTGGCACACACTTGTAAACAAACAGATCTCATGTGAACTAACTGAGCAAAAAGTCACCAAAAGGATGGTGCTAAGCCATTTGTGAGGGACCCACTGCCAGGACCCAGATGCCTCCCACCAGGCCCCACCTCCAACATTAGGGATTACATTCCTTTTTCTTTTTTTCCCCTCCCTCCCTCCCTCCCTCCCTCCCTCCCTCCCTCTCTTTCTTTTCTGTCTTTTTCTTTCTCTCTTTCCCTTCCTTCCTTCCTTCCTCCCTCCCTCCCTCCCTCCCTCCCTCCCTCCCTCCCTCCCTCCCTCCCTCCCTCTCTTCCTTCCTTCCTCCCTCCCTCCCTCCCTCCCTCTCTTTCTTTTCTTTTTCTTTCTCTCTTTCCCTTCCTTCCTTCCTTCCCTCCCTCCCTCCCTCCCTCCCTCCCTCCCTCCCTCCCTCCCTCCCTCCTTCCTTCCTTCCTTCCTTCCTTCCCCCCTTCCCCCCTTCTTTCTTTCTTGCTTTATTTTTCTTCTCCCTCTGTGGCCCAGGCTAGAGTGCAGTGATGCAGTCTCAGCTCACTGCACCGTCTGTTTCCTGGGTTCCTGATCCACCTGCCTCAGCCTCCCACGTAACTGGGACTACAGGTGTGTGCCACCACACCTGGCTAATTGTTGTTTTTGTTTTTGTTTTGAGATGGATTTTTGTTTTGTTTGATCTCTTGCTAGGCTGGTGTGCAGTGGCGCCATCTCAGTTCATTGCAACCTCTGTTTCCCAGGTTCAAGTGATTCTCCTGCCTCAGCTTCCTGAGTAGCTGAGGTTACAGGTGTGCGTCATTATGCCCAGCTAATTTTTTGTATTTTTGGTAGAGATGGGGTTTCACCATATTGGCCAGGCTGGTCTCCAACATGTGACCTTGTGATCCACCTGCCTCGGCCTCCCAAAGTTCTGGGATTATAGGCGTGAGCCTCCACACCCAGAGATTAGGAAGGAATAAACGTCCAAACTGTATCACACGTCCCATCAGGGACTGAGATACTGAGGAAGCTTCTCAAATGCCAAGTTCAGGGCTTGGCTCAAAAAGTGGTTCTGTCACCAAGGCGGCCATCACTAGAAACTGATTTGCTTCATGCTACAAGTACTTCCACTCCTCTGTAGCAAGCGAGATCAGTTCATTGCGGGGCTTTTAACCTATTTTTCTCATGGCCCCAAGGCCCCTGCTTCTAATCACTATGCTATGGTCCCCATAAAAGTGTTTTAAAATTCAGGCCTAAGCAAATGAAATAGAATATTTATCAAACTTTTTTTTTTTTTGAGATGAAGTCTCACTCTTGTTGCCCAGGCTGGAGTGCAGTGGCGTGATTTCGGCTCAGTGCAACCTCCACCTCCTGGGTTCAAGCAGTTCTTCTGCCTCAGTCTCCTGAGTAGCTGGGATTACAGGCATCTGCCACCACACTCACTAGTTTTTGTACTTTTAGTAGAGATGGGATTTTGCCACGTTGGCCAGGCAGTTCTCGAACTGCTGGCCTCAGGTGATCCACCTACTCCGGCCTCCCAGAGTGCTGGGATTACCGTGTGAGCCACTGTGCCGGCCTTTTGTTTGAGACCGAATCTCACTCTGTCCCCATTCTGGGCTGCGGTGCTGTGACCGGATCTCACTCTGTGTCCATCCTGGGCTGCAGTGGTGTGACCGGATCTCACTCTGTGCCCATCCTGGACTGCAGTGCTGTGACCGGATCTCACTCTGTGCCCATCCTGGGCTGCAGTGCTGTGACCGGATCTCACTCTGTGCCCATCCTGGGCTGCAGTGGTATGACCGGATCTCACTCTGTCCCCATCCTGGGCTGCAGTGGTGTGACCGGATCTCACTCTGTGCCCATCCTGGGCTGCAGTGGTGTGACCGGATCTCACTCTGTGCCCATCCTGGACTGCAGTGTTGTGACCGGATCTCACTCTGTCCCCATCCTGGGCTGCAGTGGTGTGACCGGATCTCACTCTGTCCCCATCCTGGGCTGCAGTGGTGTGACCGGATCTCACTCTGTCCCCATCCTGGGCTGCAGTGCTGTGACCGGATCTCACTCTGTCCCCATCCTGGGCTGCAGTGCTGTGACCGGATCTCACTCTGTGCCCATCCTGGGCTGCAGTGCTGTGACCGGATCTCACTCTGTCCCCATCCTGGGCTGCAGTGCTGTGACCGGATCTCACTCTGTCCCCATCCTGGGCTGCAGTGCTGTGACCGGATCTCACTCTGTCCCCATCCTGGGCTGCAGTGGTGTGACCGGATCTCACTCTGTCCCCATCCTGGGCTGCAGTGCTGTGACCGTGGCTTCTTACAGCCATGACCTTCTGTGCTCAAGTGACCCTCCCCCCTCAGCCTCCCAACTAGCTAGGACCACAAGCATGTGCCACCGGACCTGGCTAATTAAAAAAAAATTTTTTTTTTAAAGTCTGGGTCTTGCTAAGTCCAACTCCTCAGCTCAAGCGATCTGTCCCCCTCTTGACGGGAGATCTCATAAGTCAGAGTTTAGATACAAGGGAAAAAGCTGAGAAGTGGGCCTGTAATCGCAGCATTTTGGGAGGTCGAGGCGGGCAGATCACCTGAGGTCGGGAGTCAGTGACCAGCCTGGTCAATACGGTGAAACCCCGTCTCTACTAAAAATACAAAAATTAGCCGAGCGCACCTGTAGTCCCAGCTACTTGGCAGGCTGAGGCAGGAGAGTCACTTGAACCCAGGAGGTGGAGAGCTCCCTCCAGCCTAGTGACAGAGCGAGACTCCATCTTAAAAACAAAAGGAAACAAAGCCAAGAAGGGGGAGCTGGGCAGACAAGTTTTGGGTTTCGCATCAGGCAGGGTCAGATGTGGCCGGCCAGAAGTCTACATCATGGTGGAGATCAGGACTCAGGGGTCAGAGTGAGGCCTCCTCCCTTCTCTTCTCTCCCCCACAGGCTGGAGGACCCCGCGGAGAGGACGTCACTGGGGGTCGCACGCCAGCCGGGCCGCCGGGGCTGCTGCGTGGGGCACGGGTTCCTGCGCCGCTGGGTGCAATTCTGGTGCGCTCCGGTGACGGTCTTCATGGGCAACGTGGTCAGCTACCTGCTGTTCCTGCTGCTGTTTGCGCGGGTGCTGCTCGTGGACTTCCAGCCCTCGCCGCCCGGCGGCCTGGAGCTGCTGCTCTACTTCTGGGCTTTCACGCTGCTGTGCGAGGAGCTGCGCCAGGGCCTGAGCGGGGGCTGGGGCAGCCTGGCCAGTGGGGGCCCCGGGCCTGGTCATGCCTCGCTGCGCCAGCGCCTGCAGCTCTACCTCGCCGACAGCTGGAACCAGTGCGACCTAGTGGCCCTCACCTGCTTCCTCCTGGGCGTAGGCTGCCGGTGAGTGCCCCGGGGTCCTGGAACCCCCGTCCCTGGCCACCTCTCATCCTCCCTGCCCACTCCGGGGTCTCCACTCTGTGGTCTCCCCTCCGGGGTCTCCACTTCTGGGTTTCCCGAAGCCGGGCAGCAGGTCAAGCCAACCTGGCTGACTGGAGAAAAACAGAACTCCTTAGGAAAGTTGGGCGTGACGACTGCCCCGGGGTAATTGGCTGGCACCTGGAGATCTGGCTCTAGGGACGGCAGGATTCTAGAGAAAGCCCCACTGTCCGCCACTCACTCAGCCTCTGCTGTTTATTGCTAGGTGTGAAAGTTACCAGATATTTCTGGGAGGCCTTACCTTACCTCCTCCCTCCTCTTCATCCACACAGCTTGTATGTCTCAGGCCTTGCCCTCCTTCTCCCAACTTTCTTTCTTTCTTTCTTTTTTTTTTTTGTTTGTTTTTTTAGATGGAGTCTTGAGACTCTGCCCCCCAGGCTGGAGTGCAGCTGCGTGATCTCGGCTCACTGCAACCTCTGCCTCCCGGGTTCAAGCGATTCTCCTGCCTCAGCCTCCCTTGTAGCTAAGATTACAGGCACCTGCCACTCCACCTAGCTAATTTTTTTTGTATTTTTAGTAGAGACGGGGTTTCACTATGTTGGCCAGGCTGGTCTCAAACTCCTGATCTCATGATTCGCCCACCTCGGCCTTTCAAAGTACTGGGATTACAGGTCTGTCTTCTTTCTTATCTTTCCTTTCCTTCCCTTTCCCTTTCCTTTCTTCTTTCTTTCCTTCCTTCCTTCCTTCCTTCCTTCCTTCCTTCCTTCCTTCCTTCCTCTCTCTCTTCCTTCCTTCTTTCTTTCTTTTTTTTGATGGAGTCTTGCTCTGTTTCCCAGGCTGGAGTGCAGTGGTGTGACCTTGGCTCACTGCAACCTCTGCCTCCTGGGTTGAAGAAATTCTCATATTTCAGCCCTCCAAGTAGCTGGGATTACAGGCGTGCACCACCATGACTGGCTAATTAGTAGAGTTGGGGTTTCACCATGTTGGCCATGCTGGCCTCAAACACCTAACCTCAGGTGATCCGCCCGCCTCGGCCTCCCAAGGTGCTAGGATTACAGGCGTGAGCCACTGGGCCCAGCTTTCTTTTTCTTTGGTCGTGACGGAGTCTTGCTATGTTGCCCAGGCTGGTCTTGAACTCCTGGCCTCCCACATTGACCTCCCAGTGTGCTCGAATGACCAGCATGAGCAACTGCGCCTGGCCCCTGATTGATTTTATATTCAGGGCAGTTAAAGTCATTTCAGTTATTTTCGGTTTTACTTTATGAAATTGTTTCAACTTAGTTAATTGTTATTGGGGTTAAGTTTTAGAACACATTTGATTCCTCATTGATGTTTTGGTTCGTACTGAATTTTGCCAAAGTCTAGGGTCTGTGTCTGTCAATCGCCCTTGGTGCCTGTTAGCTCTTTCGTGTCCAGTTTTCCTGGGTCAGATTTCATAGCTTCAAATTTCATCAGGGAGGCTGGAATGCTCTGCCAACACTTTTGTTTTTTTGAGACAGAGTCTTGCTCTGTGGCCCAGGCTGGAGTGCAGTGGCTCGATCTCGTCTCACTCCAACCTCCACCTCCTGGGTTCAAGCGATTCTCCTGCCTCAGCCTCCTGAGTAGCTGCCTTGCTATGTTGGAATTACAGGTGGGATTTCAGACACCTGCCACTGCACCTGGCTAATGTTTTTGTATTTTTAGTAGAGACGAGGTTTCACCATGTTGGCCAGGCTGGTTTTCCAACTCCTGACCTCAGGTGATCCACCCCTCTCTGCCTCCCAAATCTGTCAACTTTTAAGTCATGAAACCCTTGGCTGTTTCTGTTTATTTCTTAGCTAAGTCTACACAAAAAACCAATTGTGAGGAATTTTCCTCAACTGTTTTCTGTTGCGGGGACTGGGCCACGTGGTGTTAGTTAATTTCCTCCCCAGTTTCCAGACCATGTCTTTAGTTCCCGAAGGGAGGGGAAGGCGTAGGTCAGAATGTCCTTGGGAACAAATCGCCTTGTCTTTGGGTCTTGGCACATGCTGTTCCCATTCCCAAAACTCTTCCCTTCTCTCTTCTGCCAAGCCAAGTCTGACCCTTCCTGCGACGTCATCTGCTGCCCCTGCCTTTGGAAGCCTTTCTTACCCTCCTTCCACCCTGGGTCCCTGTCTGGTGGTGCCCTGTGTTCTTGGATGAGGTCTGTGCGAACCTACCTTTGACAGCCAAAGGGAGCTGAAAGAGGCTGACAAATCCAGCTTCTCAGAAATAAATATTTAATGAGGATTTATGAACAGAAGTCCTGTCTCAAGGTGGATCCCTCAGCCCACCCTCCAGAAAATATTCATTCTAATTTTTTTTTTCTTTTTTTTTGAGACGGAGTTTCGCTCTTGTTACCCAGGCTGGAGTGCAATGGCGCGATCTCGGCTCACCACAACCTCTGCCTCATGGGTTCAAGCAATTCTCCTGCCTCAGCCTCCCGAGTAGCTGGGATTACAGGCACGCGCCACCATGCCCAGCTAATTTTTGTATTTTTAGTAGAGACGGGGTTTCACCTTGTTGACCAGGATGGTCTCGATCTCTTGACCTCGTGATCCACCTGCCTCGGCCTCCCAAAGTGCTGGGATTACAGGCATGAGCCACCGTGCCTGGCCTCTGAATTTGTTTTTTGAAGATAGACACCAGGTCTCACTAGATTGGTCAGATTGGTCTTACACTCCTGGCCTCAAATAGTCCTCCCACCTCGATTTCCCTAAAGTGTTAGGATTATAGGTGTGAGCCACTGTGCCCAGCTCAGAAAGCTGTAAGCCCTTTTTGTAAAACACGTGCAGCTGGTTTAGAGGGTTTGGGAAACTCTGGCCACTGCGGAAGTTGGATAAGCATCTTTATGAGGGGTTATCTCTGCCACAGGCATTTCTTTACGAGGGGTTATCTGTACAGAGATCACGGGTCATTGAAGCCTCACCCAAGACATCCTCTTGCCTCAGCCTGTTGAATAGTTAGGACTACAGGCACCTGCCACGTGTCCAGCTAATTTTTTTTTGATATATTTTTTTTTTGGTAGAGATGGAGTTTCACCGTGTTACCCAGGCTATAACATTTTAAAATTTAATTTGATATTTTTATGGAGACATGTCTTGCTCTGTTGCCCAGGCTGGAGTGCAGTGGCATGATCACAGCTCACTGTAGCCTCAACCTCCCTGGCTGAAGCCATTCTCTTAACTCAGCCTCCCCAGTAGCTGGGACTACAGGCACGCACCACCACATCTGCTTAATTTTAATTTTTATTTTTTGGTAGACACAGGATCTCAAGATCTCACTATGTGCCCCAGCTGGTATCACACTCCTAGCCTCAAGGGATCCTCCTGCCTCAGCCTCCCAAAGTGTTGGCATTACAGGTGTAAGCCACTGCACCCGGCAACATCTTTTCAGTATCAGCTATTACAAAAAAAATGCAGAAATGTGGTCCCACTGAACTAGAGGAAATGAATGAAGGACACAGAGTATAAATCAAAGATTTCCTGCCACTGTTGCAAGCATCCTGCTGTTCTCAGTGGTTTCCACCATCAGTAGTTTGGTGCACATCCTGTCTGTTCTTTTTCTATTCATTTACATGGACAAGTACACATAATTCTCTTTATACCAATTACATGATATTTATGTATCTTCTGGTAACTTTTTCTTTCTCTTTTTTGGAGACGGAGTCCACTCTGTTACCCAGGCAGGAGTGCAGTGGCACGATCTCAACTCATTGCAACCTCTGCCTACCTGAGCAACTGGGATTACAGGCATCTGCCACCACATCCAGCTGACTTTTTGTATTTTAGTAGAGGTGGAGTTTCACCGTGTTGCCCAGGCTTGTCTCCAACTCCTGACCTTGCAATCCGCCTGCCTCGGCCTCCCAAAGTGCTGGGACTACTGGCATGAGCCATTGTGCCCAGCCTTCTTTTTCTTTTTTTAAAAGACAAGGTCTCACGAGGTTGCCCAGGCTGTTCTTGAACTTCTGGGCTCAAGCAGTCCTCCCACGTCAGCCTCAAAAACCCTTTTTCTTTTTCTCTGCAATGTGTCCCAAGATTCTTTCTATGTCAATACGGTATTTGCAAATGTACTTTATTTTTTGAAAACGCCACATCAGATTCCAGAAGAAAGAATTTTAGCCGTCCTTGACTACAGATCAGATGAGACACACTTCTTGACAGAATTTAAGGAATGTGGTGTTTTCCTAAGGCAGTGAAACAAAAATTCTGAGCTTCAGGAGAAGGAAATCAGCCTAAGAATTTCTCAACAACATCTCTTTCATTTTCTACTCCAGATAATATGAGGGCAAGTGCTGTGGCTCACGCCTGCAATCCCAGCAATTTGCAAGGCTGAGGAGGGAGGGTTGCTTGAGGCCAGGAGTTTGAGATCAGCCTGGGCAACATAACAAGACCCTGTCTCTACCAAAAATTTAAAAAGTGGGCCAGGCTCGATGACTCACATCTGTAATCACAGCACTTCAAGAGGCTGAGGTGGGTGGATCACCAGAGGTAGGGAGTTCGAGACCAGCCTGACCAACATGGAGAAACCCCATCTCTAATAAAAATACAAAATTAGCAGGGCATGGTGGCACATGCCTGTAATCCCAGCTACTCAGGCTGAGGCACGAGAATCAATCACTTGAACCCTGGAGGCAGAGGTTTCAGTGAGCTGAGATTGCACCATTGCACTGTAGCCTGGGCAACAAGAGCAAAACTCTGTCTCAAAAAAAAGAAAAAAAATTAAAAAAATGAGCCAGGCACAGTGATACGCCTTGTAGTCCCAGGTACCTAGAAAGCTGAGGCTGGAGCCCAGGAGGAGTTTGAGGCTGCAGTGAACTATGATTGTGCCACTATACTCAAGCCCGGGTGATGGCAAGACTCTGTCTCTTAAAAAAAAAGAAAAGGTAATATAAAAAGTTTTTAAAATTTAATTTTAGTTTTTATTTTTGGAGACAGGTTCTCAGCTTGTTGCCCAGGCTGGAGTGCAGCGGTGTGATCTTGGCTCACTGCACGCTCTTCCTCCTGGGCTCAAGCGATCCTCTCACCTCAGCCTCCAGAGTAGCTGGGACTACAGGCACAGGGCACCACAGCTGGCTAATTTTTGTATTTTTTGTAGAGATAGAGGCTGCCATGTTTCCCAGGCTAATGTAAAGTTCTGATCAGATAATTGCTGCTCTGCTTCCAGTTCTCTGCTGATGGGGTCTCCTCCCTCCCTCCCTTCCTTCCTTTCTTTTTCCTTCTCTCTTTCCCTCTCCCCACTCCCTCCCTCCCTCCTGGCTGCTAGGACACTCCTCCTTTTGAGGAGAGCCAACAGAAAGCTTTGTGGACACAACCTGGTGACTGGTTTTCTTTGTCTGTTTTTGTTCTCTTTCTTTCTTTTTTTCTTGAGACAGAGTTTTGCTGTGTTGCCCAGGCTGGAGTACAATGGGATGATCTTGGCTCACTGCAACCTCCACCTCCTGGGTTCAAGCGATTCTCCTGCCTCAGCCTCCTGAGTAGCTGGGATTACAGGCGTGCACCACTACACTCAACTAATTTTTTTTTTTTTTTTTGGGTAAAGATGGGGTTTTGCCCTCTTGACTAGGTTGATGTCAAACTCCTGGCCTCAAGTGATCCACCTACCTTAGCCTCGGAAAATGCTGGGATTACAGGTGTGGGCCACCAGCACCCAGCCAACAACCTTAGAGGAAGCCCAGCCTTCCTCTAAGCTGTGTTACAAAGTGATTCAACATAAATAATTTCTTTAAGCAGGAAGGAAGATAGGAGAGTTTTACAGAACACTAATACTTCCATTTATCCTCTGTCGTATTTTGTATAAAGTGACTTTTGAGATGAAACAGCTAAGGCCATTTGCTACCATGCTCTAGGATCACCAGCGATATTTTGGACAGTTTATCAAGCCCAGCACTTTCTGTAGGGCACGTTGGGAGCCAGATGTAGGACTGAGGGCCCCACAGGGTCGTGGGGTGAGCCTTATGCTGTGCTGAGGTGCGGGATCCGAGAAATAAAAAGATAGGGCACAGAAGTACAAGAAAACACAGCTGGGCTCGGGGGGGCCACGCCATCTGTGAGTGTAGTCAGACGAGGCCCTGAATGTCCAGAAGCGTGAGTATTCATTGTGCATAGGTTAGGGGGCAGGGCAGTGAGTGAAATCATCTTTAAGGATAGTGATTGGGTTGTGAGCAATAAAACATGGGGTCCACCCCCATTAGGTCACCTAGGCCAGGAGGTGGACAGTGCACAGCAAGGGGCCCATTCCCATGAAGGCAAGGGCCATGCTCAGTAAGGGGTCCACCCCCATTAGGTCACCGAGGTTTGAAGGTGGGCTGTGTGCAGTGTGCAATACTTCTATCTATGGTTAAACTACTTCTAAGAAGATTTATAGGAGGATGCTTTAAGTCACATAGCAGTGACAGAACTGTCAAGGTTACCACCACCTTCTGGCAGCTTCCAGCGGGTTCTATGGGAAGATGCTTTTCAAGCAGCACAGTAGCAAGAGCTGGTAAGTTCACAGTCACCAAGGTGGATTGCCGTTCTGAGGGCAGCCTTCCACAAGAACTGGAGCAAGGTCCTACAACTCCTTTATCAGGAGGAGTGGCTCTCGCCCCAAGCCTGCCATACAGCGGGTATCTTTACGATACTGAACGCTGCCGCCTGGGCCATGGATTCTTGTCCTGGCATAACTGTTTGTCCCTTAAATCATGCTCTGCACTGTGTCTGCTCTAGGCATTCCTCCAATTATAAGCTGCTTATTCCTTAATTCATGGTCTGTACTGTGTCCACTCTAGGCATTCCTCCAATTATGAACTAAGATATAATTATAGGTATATATGTAGGGAAATATTCTTTAGGCACTCATACTGTTAACTATTATATGATTATATAGAGAGGATTATATAAAGGGATTCGTCAAGCCCTATTTCTATAAACTATTATATGATTATGTAAAGGATTATATAAAAGGAAATAGCTGAGTAGTGACACTATAAAGTGAGATATTCCTCAAGCCCTAACTGTGCCAGGGTTCTGCTCAGCTCTCATTCCTCGGTGCTTATATGGGGGGTTACCCACACTTTCAAGGTGAAGGAAGCAGTATTACATGAGAAAAATGGAGAGATCTCAGCTTACAAGGGAGAAATGTCTAATCATCAGAATCGAATGGATGAATCATCCTTTATTTTGCCCATTCCCTCTAGATGGACACTTAGGTTCTTTCTGTCTTTCTTCTTCTTGTTCTTGTTCTTCTTCTTTTTTTAAATCAAATTGCCTTGCTGTAGTCTTTCTTCTTTTCTTGTTTTAAATAGAGATGGGGTCTCACTGTGTTGCCCAGGCTGATCTCAATTTCCTGGGCTCAAGCAATACCTTCTCCTTGGCTTCCCAAAGTGCTGAGATTACAGGGTTGAGCCGCCGTGTCCAGCCCTGTTTATATTATTATTATTCCAGAATAATAAAAGTTTACATCCCAGTTGTAAAGTTCCTCGGTCAAAGGGTGCATATGTTCTTGACATGATAAGATTTCCTGCTAAGTAGCTTCACCCGTTTCCACGCCTGCCATCAGGGCGAGAGAGTGCCCCCTAGAGGACATGCTCGACAATGCCTGATACTTTCACTCTAAAACGTAGCTTTCAATTGAACTGAAAACAAATTGGTCAATTTAATGGGTAAACATGACCTCTCCTTATGTTAATTTCTGCACTCTTGACTTCCAGGTAGGCAGGACATCTTTTCCTAAGCTTAAAGGCCACCTGTACTTGTATCAGTTGTCTTTTTTGCACCCTAATTTTTAAAATTGGGGTTCATTGATTACATAATACACACACACACACACATATATCACTGTTCTCCTTATACTCTGGATCCTAACCCCTGGTACTTTTGTTAATGTTAGTATCTTCATCTCTTCTCGAAGTTTGTGGCTTGTCTTTTCACTTTCGCTTTTTTTTTTTTTTTTTTTTTTTTGAGACAGAGTCTCACTCTGTCACCAGGCTGCAGTGCAGTGTCATGATCTTGGCTCACTGCAACCTCCTCCTCCCGAGTTCAAGCGATTCTGTTGCCTCAGCTTCCCAAGTAGCTGGGACTCCAAGCACGTGCCACCACACTCAGCTCATTTTTGTATTTTTAGTAGAGATGGGGTTTCACCATGTTGGCCAGGATGGTCTTGATCTCTTGACCTCGTGATCTGTCCACCTCGGCCTACCAAAGTGCTGGGATTACAGGTGTGAGCCCCCGTGCCTGGCTGTGCAGCCATTTAAAAAATAGGTCCCAGTGCCCTGCGTGGACCAGCACTGAGTCCATGCAGGGACTGAGTCTCTGTCCCCGCTCCCTGAGACTCTGTACCCGCTCCCTGAGACTCTGTACCCCTGTCTCTAAGAAAATGCCTGTCTCTCTGAGTCTTTGTCTCCCTCTTTCTCTGAATCTCTGAGTGACACCCCACATCCTCTGCCATCATCTCTCTGGGTCTCTGCCCACCCCACTCCCTCTTTCTTTCTTTCATTTTTGAGTAAACCTCGGGTGTCTAGGGTCCTGGTCCTGCCCAGTGGAGGCTGCAGCTTTATCTGAAGCATGGCATTGGGGAGACTCAATTTTCCTTGGCATCTTGTGACATTTGAGTGACCCTTGCGGCATCTCCCCACACCGCAGGCTGACCCCAGGTTTGTACGACCTGGGCCGCGCTGTCTTCTGCCTCGACTTCATGGTTTTCACGCTGCGGCTGCTGCACATCTTCACAGTCAACAAACAGCTGGGGCCCAAGATCGTCATCGTGAACAAGATGGTGAGCGAGGGGCGGGGCTGAAGTGGGCGGGGCCAGAGGGAAAGGGGTGGGGCCAGGGAAGGAGGGGTCTGTGGAGAAAGGGCGGGACTTTGGGGAGCAGGGGGCGTGGCTTTGGGATGTAGGGGTGGGACCAGAGTAGGGAATGGTGGGGCCGGACTCAGCTGCATCTCCCCGCAGGTGAAGGATGTGTTCTTCTTTCTCTTCTTCCTCGGCGTGTGGTTAGTGGCCTATGGCGTGGCCACGGAGGGGCTCCTAAGGCCCCAGGACAGTGACCTCCCAAGTATCCTGCGCCGTGTCTTCTACCGTCCCTACCTGCAGATCTTCGGGCAGATCCCCCAGGAAGACATGGACGGTAAGAAGAGATGACAGGGCCTGACAGACTCCCTCTGAGCCTCTCTGTCCCCGCTCCCTGGGTCTCTGTACCCCTGTCTCTAAGAAAATGTCTTTGTCTAAGTCTCTGTCTCCCTCTTTCTCTGGATCTCTGAGTGACACCCCACATTCCCCCGCCATCATATCTCTGGGTCTCTGCCCACACGGCTTTTGTCATCTCCTTCCTTCCTTCCTTCCTTCCTTCCTTCCTTCCTTCCTTCCTTCCTTCCTTCCTTCCTTCCTTCCTTCCTTCTTTCCTTTCCCTTTCTTTCCTTCCTTCCTTCTTTTCTTTTTTCTTTTCCTTCCTTCCTTCTCTCCTTCCTTCTTTCTTTCTGGTTTGAGATGGATTTTTACTCTTGTTGCCCAGGCTGAAATGCAATGTCGTGATCTCTGCTCACTGCAACTTCCACCTCCCAGGTTCAAGCAATTCTCCTGCCTCAGCCTCCTGAGAAGCTGGTATTACAGGCACCCGTTACCATGCCCAGCTAACATTTTTGTACTTTTAGTAGAGACGGGGTTTCATCATGTTGGCCAGGCTCGTCTCAAACTCCTGACCTCAGGTGATCTGCCTGCCTTCACTTCCCAAAGTGGGATTATAGGCGTGAGCCACTGGGCCTGGCTGTCTTTCTGTCTTTGTTAGATCTCTGTCCCCTTTGCCCCATCTCTGAGTGTCTCCCTTCACAGTGGCCCTCATGGAGCACAGCAACTGCTCATCAGAGCCCGGCTTCTGGGCGCACCCTTCCGGGACCCAGGCGGGCACCTGCGTCTCCCAGTATGCCAACTGGCTGGTGGTGCTGCTCCTCGTCATCTTCCTGCTTGTGGCCAACATCCTGCTGGTCAACCTGCTCATCGCCATGTTCAGGTGAGGCCTGACGGCTCTCCGATCCGACCCCACCCAGCATGACCCGTGACCCTCTCATGACTCTCAAACCCTGTCTAATCAATTTCTGTCTTTAGTTCCTGATCTCTGATCAAATCTAATGCTGCCTTCTCCCCAAATCCAACCAGACCCTGCTCTTGACTTGGATTTTGGACTGATTCTCTCCCTGAATCCAGATTGAACTTTCTTTTTTTGTGAGACGGAGTTTTGCTGTTGTTACCCAGACTGCAGTGCAATGGCACGATCTCGGCTTATCACAACCTCCGCCTTCTGGGTTCAAGCAATTCTCCTGCCTCAGCCTTCTGAGTAGCTGGGACTACAGGCGTGCACCACCATGCCCAGCTAATTTTTATATTTTTAGTAGAGACGGGGTTTCACCTTGTTGACCAGGATGGTCTCGATCTCTTGACCTCGTGATCCACCCGCCTCGGCCTCCCAAAGTGCTGGGATTATAGGCGTGAGCCACCCCGCCTGGCCCAAACTTTCTTATTTTTATTGTTTTGAGACAAGGTCTCACTCTGTCACCAAGGCTAGAATGTGGTGGTGTGATCATAGCTTACTGCAGCCTCGACATCCTGGGTTCAGGCAATCCTCCTGCCTCCGTAGCTGGGACTACTTAAAATTAGCCGGGCCACTATGCCTGATTAATTAAATTTTTTTTTTTTTCAAGAGAGGGTCTCACTATGTTGTCCAGGCTGGTCTCAGACTCCTGGACTCAAATGATCCTCCCTCCTTAGCCTCTCAAATTGCTGGGATAATCTGTTGCCCAGGCTAGAGTGCAGTGGCACGATCTCGGCTCACGGCAACCTTCGCTTCTCCCTTCCCCTTCCCAGTACAAGGGATTCTTGTGCCTCAGCCTCCCAAGGAGCTGGGACTACAGGTGCATGCCACCACAGCCAGCTAAAATTTTGAATTTTTAGTAGAGACAGGGTTTCTCCATGTTGGCCTCGAACTTTTGACCTCAAGCCTCCAAAATTGTTGGGATTATAGGCGTGAGCCACTGCGTCCAGCCAACTTTGTTTTTATTGTGGTAAAATTATATACAATTTGCCATTTTTACTTTTTTTTCTTCTTCTTTTTTAGACAGTCTCGCTTTGTCACCCAGGCTGGAGGAGTCTAGTGGTACGGTCTTGGCCTGCTACAATCTCCGCCTCCCAGGTTCAAGGGATTCTTCTGCCTCAGCCTCCTGAGTAGCTGGGATTACAGGCGTGCACCACCATGCCCAGTTCATTTTTGTATTTTTAGTAGAGATGGGGTTTCGCCATGTTGGTCAGGCTGGTCTCGAACTCTTGACCTCAGGTGATCCACCCGCCTCAGCCTCCTGAAGTGCTGGGATTATAAGCATGAGCCACTGCACCCGGCCCATTTTTAGGTATACAAGTCAGTGACATTAATTATATTTACAGTGCTCTGCAACCATCACCACTACCTATTTCCAGAACGTTCTGTCACCCAGAACAGAAAGTGCATGCCCATGAAACAAGAACTCCCCAATTCCCCTCCCCACAGGTCTTGGTAACCTCTAATGTATTTTCGGTCTCCATGGATTTGTCTAGATGTTTCATGTACGTAGAGTTAGGCAATATTTGTCTTTTTGTGTCTGGCTGATTTTACTGAGCATATTTTCAAGGCTCATCCATGTTGGAGCATGCATCAGAACTTCATTCATTCCCTTTTATGAGTGAGTAACATTCCATTTTATGAAGAGACCACATTTGGACCCGGTGTGGTGGCTCACGCCTGTAATCCCAGCACCTTGGCAGGCTAAGGTGGGTGGATCACCTGAGGTCAGGAGTTCGAGACCAGCCTGGCCAACATGGTAAGTTCCCATCTCTACTAGAAAGTTAGCTGGGCTCGTGCGTGTAATCCCAGGTACGACAGGAGGCTGAGGCATGAGAATCGCTTGAACCCAGAAGCGGAGGCTGCAGTGAGCCAAGATCGTGCCACTGCACTCCAGCCTGGGCGACAGAGCGAGACTCCATCTTAAAAAGAAAAGACCGCATTTGGTTTAGCCATTCATCTGTCGATGGACACTTGCGTTGTTTCTGCCTTGGCTGTCGTGACTAATGTTGGTTGTAGCGCTGGCATGGAAGTATCTATTTGAACGGTGGTTTTTATTTTCTTTGGTTGTGTATCAAAGTGAAATTCCTAGGTCATATGGTAAATTTATGTTTAGCTTTTTGAGAAACCACCAAACATTTCCACAGCAGCTGCACCATTTTCTGTTCTCACCAGCAGCGTATGAGGGTTCTAACTTCTCCACATCCTAGCCAACACTTGTTATTTTTCTTTTGTAAAAATTATTATTTTTTTTTTTTTCTGAGACACAGTTTTGCTCCTGTTACCCAGGCTGGAGTGCAATGGCAGGATCTCGGCTCACTGCAACCTCCGCCTCCTGGATTCAGGCAATTCTCCTGCTTCAGCCTCCTGAGTAGCTGGGATTACAGGCATGCAACACCGTGCCCAGCTAAGTTTTTTGTATTTTTAGTAGAGACGGGGTTTCACCATGTTGACCAGGATGGTCTCAATCTCTTGACCTCGTGATCCACCCGCCTCGGCCTCCCAAAGTGCTGGGATTACAGGCATGAGCCACCGCGCCCGGCTCTTTTGTAAAAATTATAGTCATCCAGCTGGGCGTAGTGGCTCATACCTGTAATCCCAGCACTTTAGGGGGCTGAGGTGGGAGGATTGCTTGAGCCCAAGACATTGAGACCAGCATGGGCAACATAGCGAGGCTGCTGTGTCTACCAAAACACCAGAAATGAGACATAACTTCACATATGCAGCCTCAAGCTCCTGGGCTGAAGTGATCCTCCCGCCTAAGCCTCCTAAGTAGCTGGGACTACACTTACGTGTCACCACACCTGGGTGATTTTATTTTTAAATTTTATTTATTTATTTATTTATGATGGAGTCTCCCTCTGTCACCAGGCTGGAGTGTAGTGGCGCAATCTCGGCTCACTGCAGCTTCCGCCTCCCAGGTTCAAGCGATTCTCCTGCCTCAGCCTCCCAAGCAGCTGGGACTATAGGCGCGTGCCAGCACACCCGGCTAATTTTATGTATTTTTAGTAGAGATGGGGTTTCACCATCTTGGCCAGGCTGGTCTAGAACTCTTGACCTCAGGTAATCCACCCACCTCAGTCTCCCAAAGTACTAGGATTACAGGCGTGAGCCACAGTGCCCTGCCCTAACCTGACTTCTGATCGCATCCTGTAACCTGTGACTTTAGTGATCTTGACTTTTGTCCGCTGCGATGGACTTTGAACAATTATTACCTGGCATCCAACCTTGCCCCCCACCCCTCCGGGGGCAGGGCTCTGACCTGAAGTGACCTTTGACTTTGACCTCTCGCCTCTGCAGCTACACGTTCGGCAAAGTACAGGGCAACAGCGACCTCTACTGGAAGTCGCAACGCTACCGCCTCATCCGGGAATTCCACTCTCGGCCCGCGCTGGCCCCGCCCCTTATCATCATCTCCCACTCGCGCCTCCTGCTCAGGAAATTGTGCCGGAGCTCCCGGAGCACCCAGGCGGTCATCGGGGATTTCCGTGAGAACAGAGCTTGGCTTAAAAAGGAAAAATACAAGAGACCGGGAGCCTGGAAGGCGAGGGGATGGGGGCATGCCCCTAATGACTAGTGGGCGTGGCCTAAGAGTGAGGGGCGGGGTTAAGCAGCACGGGTCGGTGCTTAAGTACTGAGGGGTGGGGCTTACGGGTGAGGAGCGGGGCCTGTTCTCGAAACACCTGGGGACGGGTGTGGGAGAGGGTGCTCTGATGGGGTGGCTGGGCTTGGGAAGGGGCGTGGCCTGAGCTCTCTAACTCTGTCCGCCCCTGCAGGAGTCCCTCTTTCTAAGGAAGCCGAGCGGAAGCTGCTGACTTGGGAATCGGTGCAAAAGGAGAACTTCCTGCTGGCACGCGCTCGGGACAAGCGGGACAGCGACTCCGAGCGTCTGAAGCGCACGTCGCAGAAGTGAGGGGTGGGCCTGGTCGGGGGCGGGGCTTCTGGCCTTGGGGGATCCCGACGTTCGCCGAGCGGAGAAAAGAGGTGGGGTTTACACGGAGCCGGGAAGAGGGTGGAGCCTGGGGGCAGGGCGCTGGGACGGAGGAAAGAGGCCGGGAAGCAGGCGGAGCTTCGGGCGTGGGTGGGCTGCGGGTGCCCCCAATAAGAGGCCTTCCCTTCGCAGGGTGGACAATGCGCTGAAACAGCTGGGACACATCCGCGAGTACGAACAGCGCCTGAAAGTGCTGGAGCGGGAGGTTAGGGCTTGGGGCCTGGCTGGGGGACTGTGGCGGGGGTCTGGCAGGGGTTCGGTCTCCTGCTCTGACATCCCTCCTGCTCCCCAGGTCCAGCACTGTAGCCGCGTCCTGGGGTGGATGGCCGAGGCCCTGAGCCGCTCTGCCTTGCTGCCCCCAGGAGGGCCGCCACCCCCCGATCTGCCTGGGCCCAAAGGTCAGTGTGTAGGATGAGCCTGTGCATCTCCAGCCTCTGTTCCTGTATTTTTGCGTTTTTCTCTCTCGGCGCCTTTCCAGTGGCCCTGGGTCACTCTTGGTCTCCTTTGGGCATTTTGTCCTCCTGTCTTCGTGTTTCTTCTTTTTTTGCCAGTCCCCCAGTTTTTCTCTCCCCCTTTCCCCGCCAATCACCTGTTCTTTCCTCTGTCTTCCCCCTAGACTGAGCCCTGCTGGCGGACTTCAAGGAGAAGCCCGCTCTAGGGTTTTGCTCCCAGAGTAAGGCTCATCTGGGCCTCCGCCCCTGCACCTGGTGGCCTTGTACTTGAGGTGAGCCCCGCGCCCATCTGGGCCGCTGTCGGGACCACCTTTGGGAGTGTCATCCATACCAACCACAGCATGCAGCTCCTCCCAGAACCAGCCGAAGCCTGGGAGGAGGAAGTCCTGGAGACCCGGCTGTAGTCCAGGGACAGGCTGGAGGGTCCTTGGGGTAACGGGGACCACAGACCCCACTCGCAGATTCCTCACACTGGGGAAATAAAGCCATCTGATGGGAATCGTGTCCGGAGGCTTGATTCTTGGGGGAACTGGTGGGGGACTAGACCCTTCCAGGAGGGGGGCTGGAGCTGGGGTGGTGGGTTTGGGGTTCTTGGTGGGTTTGCTGCTGCTATTTTGGAGTCCCTTTCTTCCTCTCAGGCTTAGTGTTTCTGCCTGACTGAGACCCAGCACCTTCTGTCTGCACGGTTCTGGCAGCTGTCACTTCTGTAGGACAGGACCCCATGTGTACCCCCTCCCACCCAGTTTCAGCTTTCCAGTGGAAAAAGAACTCAGTGATCATAGTGAATTATCTCCTGGAGAGGGGCTGGGCGGGTGTTGTGTACATCTGCTTTGGCAATAGGGAAACGGAGGACGCAAATTTGGATAAATGCATACGTGTCTTTAAAGAGTCTAATTGGTGGGAAATTGCAGGCCAGGCACACGCAGGGGTGGGGCAAATAGGCATGATTATACATGCAGTTTAAATAACTGGTAACAAGCTAAACTGGTAATGACAAGGCTGAACTGACAGCAATTATTAAATAGCAAGAAAGCCACCAACAACCAACACATCCAAGAATCAAACGCAAAACATCCTTCCTCCCAATTGGAGGAGAGCCAAGTATCTGTCACTGTGGGTGCAGAGTAGCTCTGAAACATTGCCAAGTGTGGTGCCACGACCGGGACTTCTCTGGAAGATGCTGTTAGTTCTCACCAGCCCAAGTAGTAGTAAAGTAGTAATCACCTTAATGAGGATGGCACAGCAGCAACTTTCTCCCTCCATCCCTCACTCCCTCCCTCCTTCCTTCCTCCCTCTGTCCCTCCCTCTCTCCTCCCTCCTCCCTCATTCCCTCCTCCCTCCATTCCTCACTCCCTCCTCCCTCCATCTCTCACTCCCTCCTCCCTCCATCCCTCACTCCCTCCATCCCTCACTCCCTCCTCCCTCCATCCCTCACTCCCTCCTCCCTCCATCCCTCCTTCCTTCATCCCGCCCTCCTTCCTTCCTCCATCCCTCCCTCCTTCATTCCTCCCTCCTCCCTCCCTCCGTCTCTCCCTCTGCTCTCCCTCCTCCCTGTTCTCCTCCTTTCCTCCTTCTTTCCTTCCTTCCCTCCCTCCCTCCTTCTCTCCTTCCGCCTCTCTCCCTTCCTCCCTTCTGTAGGGCTGAGGGCCCCACAGGGTCCTGGGCTGAGCCTTATGCTGTGCTGAGGCACAGGATCTGAGAAATAACGAGACAGGACACAGAAGTAGAAGGAAAACGCAGCTGAGCTCAGGGGGCCACGCCACCTATGAGCGGATTCAGGCAAGGCCCTGAATGTCCAGAAGCGTGAGTATTTATTGTGCATAGGTTAGGGGGCAGGGCAGTGAGTGAAATCATCTTTAAGGATAGTGATAGGGTCATGAGCAATGAAACACTGGGTCCACCCCCATTAGGTCACCTAGGCTTGAAGGTGGGCCGTGCGCAGTGAAGAGGGTACAGTGTGCAATACTTCTATCTATGGGCAAACTACTTTTTTTTTGAGACGGAGTTTCGCTGTTGTTACCCAGGCTGGAGTGCAATGGCATGATCTCGGCTCACCGCAACCTCTGCCTTCTGGGTTCAGGCAATTCTCCTGCCTCAGCCTCCCGAGTACCTTGGACTACAGGCGTGCACCACCATGCCCAGCTAATTTTTTGTATTTTTAGTAGAGACGGGGTTTCACCATGTTGACCAGGATGGTCTCGATCTCTTGACCTCGTGATCCACCCACCTCAGCCTCCCAAAGTGCTGGGATTATGGGTGTGAGCCATCGCATCCGGCCAAGTACTTCCTATGTGTTCAGCATTGTTTTAAGTGCTTCACATGCACGAAATCAGTGAATCCTGTGATCACCATATAAGGATATTGTTGTCTCACTATTGTTTCCATTTTGCAGATGAGAAAACTGAGACACACAAAAGTGGCTCAAAGTCACACAGATAGAAAGTGGCTGAGTCGGAGGCTGGGCACAGTGGCTCACACGTATAAAACGCACTTTGGGAGGCCAGGCGGGTGGATCGTTTGAGGCCAGGAGTTCAAGACCAGCCTGGCCAACATGGCAAAACCCCGTTTCTACCAAAAATGCAAAAACTAGCCAGGTGTGGTAGTGGGCACCTGTAGTCCTAGCTACTGGGGAAGTTGAGGCAGAAGGATCACTTTAACCCGGGAGGCGGAGGTTGCAGTGAGCCGAGATCGCACCACCGCACTCCAGCCTGGGCGACAGAGCCAGTCTCTGTTTCAAAAAATAATAACAATAAAAAATCGAAAGTGGCCGAGTTGGAACAGAAATCTGGGCAATCCGGAGAGCCTCTGTAATACAGGACTTTATATGTGGAAATGTCAACTGCGGTGCCGCCACAGGAACTCGGTCCACGTGCGAGTTTGAGCTTTTGTTTCTGCGCTGCAAATCCGCCCTGGTCTCAGCTCTGTGATGCTGGGGCGGAGCCTCTGCAGGCCACGTATTTGCTTTGCCAGCTGGGTCGCTGCAAGGCCCGGCCTGAAGAGGGCGCTAGACGGAGACGGCGATTGGAGGAGGAAGCAGGGATTTGCCCCGCCCACTTGCCCCAGGCTTCCGAGCGGGCGCCGCCCCAGAACAATGCTCGGGCAGTAGCTTCCAGGTTCTCAGTTTTACTTTTGGGCACCTCCATAACCCGTTTCTTTTTCTATTTTTGAGACAGGGTGTCACTCTGTCGCCCAGGCTGGAGTGCGGTGGTGCCATCTTGGGCTCACTGCAGCCTCGACCTCCCAGGCTCAAGCCATCCTCCCGCCTCAGCCTCCACAATAGCTGGGACCACAGGTGCGTGACACCACCCAGCTAATCTTTTCTTTTTTCTTTTTCTTTTCTTTCTTTTATTTATTTATTTATTTATTTATTTATTTATTTTTTGAGTGAGACTCTCACTCCGTCACCAGGCGCCAGGCTGGAGTGCAGTGGCGTGACCTCGGCTCACTGCAACCTCCATCTCCCGGGTTCAAGCAATTCTCCTGCCTCAGCCTCCCAAGTAGCTGGGACTACAGGCACGCGCCACCACACCCAGCTAATTTTTTTGTATTTTTAGTAGAGACGGGGTTTCACCATGTTGGCCAGGGTGGTCTGGATCTCTTGACCTCGTGATCCTCCCGCCTTGGCCTCCCAAAATGCTGGGATTACAAGCATTTTTTTAAAAAATTATTTTGTAGAGACATGTTGCCCAGGTTGCTCTCAGACTCCTGGGCTCAAGCGGTCCTTGCGCTTCGGCCTCCTAAAGTGCTGTGATTACAGGCGTGAGCCACTGCACCTGACGCCATAACCAGTTTCACCGTCAGCCTCCTGTCACACCAGCGCCACCCAGGTAGCCCCTGGCTCTGCAGGGCGGCTGCTTGAACATTTAAGGTTCTGATGACTCTGTCCTCAGTCCTGGAGTGAGCTGTAGCTGCAGTTGCCATTTTTATCTGGTGCAGTTACTGTTTCTGCGCTGTTTCTTCTCGTTCCTGTCGCGGTTTCCTGAGACCTGGTTAGTTTATCTGACACCTGTGTATTAGTTCACCCCTGTTGAAATTTCTGTATAACAGGAAAGCTCCAGGTCAAGTGTGCAGAAATCCCACATGAGTCATCGAGATGGAGAATTTGCACGAATTCCACAGGTAAACTGATTCGGAGACCGGAAGTTCCTTAGCTGAAGAGGAGGTTTGTCCTCCGGAGGAATTTCGCTAAAATAACCGCTGCAAGTTTGTATTTTGCATATTCCCTTCAAACGGGCCTTGTCTCCATCTCTGCAGTAACTGTGTATTGGGGAAAGGAAAATACTCAGACCTTTTGGGGACTAGCAGACACTGGCCCGGCTGTTTATTCATTTTTGAGATGCAGGCTTACTCTGCTGCCCAAGCTGGAGTGCGGTGGTGTGATCACAGCTCACCGCAGCCTGGCTCAAGTGATCCTCCTGCCTCAGCCTCCCAAGTAGCTGGGATCACAGGTGCATGCCACCATGCCCATCTAATCTTTAAAAAAAAATTAGGCCAGGTGCAGTGGCTCACGCCTGTAATCCCAGCAGTTTGGGAGGCTGAGGCAGGTGGATCACTGCAGCCTCCACCTCCTGGGCTCAAATGATCCTTCCTTTTAACCTCCCAAGTAGCTGGGACCACAGGCATGCACCTCCACACCCAGCTAATTTTTTTGTTTGTTTTTTTGAGACGGAGTTTCACTCTTGTCACCCAGGCTGGAGTGCAGTGGTGCAGACTCAGGCTCACTGCAACCTCCACCTCCCGGGTTCAAGTGATTCTCCTGCCTCGGCCTCCTGAGGAGCTGGGATTGCAGCCATGCCCAGCTAATTTTTGTAGTTTCAGTAGAGATGGCGTTTCACCATTTTGGCCAGGCTGGTTTGAACTCGTGACCTCAGGTGATCCACCTGTCTCGGCCTCCCACGGTGCTGGGATTACAGGTGTGAGTCACCACCCCCACCCAGCTAATTTTTAAATGTTTTGTGGAGACAGGGTCTAGCCACGTTGTCTCCTGTTGTCTCAAACTCCTCGGCTCCAGCGATCCTCCTGCCTCAGCCTCCCACGGGGTTGGGACTACAGGTGTGAGCTACCACACCTGGCCTCCTAATACCAATTTGTAAAGATCTCCAGAAGCAGGCTGGGCGCCGTGGCTGACGCCTGTAATCCCAGCACGTTGGGAGGCTGAGGCGGGTGGATTGCCTGAGGTCAGCAGTTCAAACCAGCCTGGCCAACCAGCGGCACCACGTTCCAGAATGCCCTTTGGAGCCACCAGACTCCCAGGCCCACAGCCCTGGCCACTGCTATCTTCACCTTCTTCACGTTTTCCTTCTGCCCTCCCCTTTTTGTTTTTTGAGACAAGGTCTTGCTCTGTCACCCAGGCTGAAGTCCAGTGGCGTGATCATAGCTCACTGCATCCCTGAACTCCTGGGTCCAAGCGATTCTCCCACCTCAGCCTCCTGAGTAGGTGGGACTACAGTTGCATGCCACCACACCCAGCTAGTTAAAAAAATTTTTTTAGTAGAGACA